CTCCGCGGCGTCTCGATACGAGCTGGCCAACGACATTTTAGGAAGACAATACGCAAATCCTTGGCCGTTCGATTGCCGATCGTGGGAAAAGAATGGTAAATAAACGGTTGCTCGCTCGTCTCGTAAAATTTATCATCGAAAGTTGGCTCGCGCATCGAGCTTCCGAGTCAATGACACACGAGAGGCAATAAATTGGGCGCGAGCCACTCAATTTACACGCAATTTACACATTATGTGCGCGCACCAACCTCGTTAAGAAAATATATAACGATACTTCATAAACGCGTCGCTTTAGATTTACCCAGACGGCAAACTCTCAATAGCACCTGCACTTACAATCGGCCGCGCCAGCCTCATTGTTCTGTATTTAAAAATATCCCCAATGCAATATCGTAACTCACGTTTAACAATTGACCGCGCATCCGTGACTTTCCATTATCGTTTTCTCTCCATTACGCGCCGCAATTATTGTCGCATACGGCAGAATAAGCAGCGTACCCGGCCCCCAGCGCGTAAGGAGCCAGCGGATTTGCTTTTAAACAATTAAACAAGCCGAGAATACACGAACGGCAGAGTACGCCACGGTTGCGCCCTTTCACGCATATTATGCAACTACGGTGATCACCAAAACTAAGTATAGTTAGTTAGAAAGGGAGTGGTCTTATCCGAGGCAGTGAAACGATAAGAGCAGTTATGGTTATCCCTCTCGTATTTACATCGACGGACCTTTAGGCCGTTTCTTGTCGAGCGCGCCGACGAGGGACGAGAGCGAGTCGAAGGTACGGAGGGGAGGTAACCTTTCCGGATTCTTGGATATTTAGTCACACGCCGAGATGGCCCTAATTGTTTGCTCGGATGAAGGTTTCCATCCGATTAATGACCGTTGGGTCCTCGAACCCCGAACGCGTCGTCTCGTTTTTCCCTAGGCTTTACTTTTCCTTTACTTTACCACTCCTTTTTACTAACGGAATATCGTTCGCCGAAGTCTGGCTAAACAAAACGCACGCTCGTTCAAATTGTAATTGTTAGCCAGAGGCATTGTACTTGCACCCTCACTCGATATTTTAATGATTGACATTTTAAATATAATTTTTATTACTAGGCCAATGACGTTTAAAGAATTACTCGACATTTTGCAAACCCCCCGCCCCCCTCCCTACCTCCCTCACACCTCGCTATCATTTTTTTGCTTAGTGATTTGAAACTCTGTTGTACATCGCAACGCTATGTAGATGTGCGCGGGTGTGCAATGTGGTTGGTACTCAGTACTCTAAATACATTTCGGTACATAGCGTATTATATTATATATTACCAAATTAATAACAACTTTCAGACCTTTTAATCGTTGTTGTTCTCACTCTCATTGATATTACTATTATTATTGTTATTATCACTATCATCATGATCATCATCATCATCATCATCATGATCATCATCATCATTATTATTATTATTATTATTACAAGGTATTTCTAGTGATAAGAAAATTATTTTTTAAAAACAGTGTAACGATGCTTTTATTATTCTTGTTGACATTGTCGAATAAATGGAGATAAAATAAGCATTTCAAAGTAATTTTAACGCTTCTATGTTATTAAAGAGACTTTTTATTATCACGCTAAATCATAAAACTTATTGCATATATGTCTTTGAGTATGGGAACAATGAACTAATCGTTTAATTGAAATTTTACCATCGATTATATTTGTTAAATAATTGATATACCATTAAATAATTCGTATATATTAGCTTTAATTATAATCCCGGCTTTTGTGGATATGCTATAGATCCACGATAGATTTAATAAAAAAAAAATATAATAAAGCAATATAATATAAATACAAATGTTTGTAGAGAGAGATTGTAAAATAATTTCCCATAAATATATCGTGAGAATTACAACAGCCACAACGTGCAGTTCTACCAATTAACCTACTTGTAAAAGACATTTAAAACTCGAAAACGATTATTAAAGATAATAAGTAAATATAAAATATTTGTATAAATAATGACAACAGCGAGGCATCGGTAAATAATATTAAGAGAATAATTTAGAAAATCATAAACAAGACTTTGCAATTACCGTTTTACGATGTTCCTTTGCATATATATATATATATACAAAATAAGTTTTACATCTCATTTATCGAGGGTGCGTTGTACGAGATATTTCGGCATGCAACAAGAAAATCGAATGGAAAACGAAAAACGAATCAGACAAAGTCCCTACGTGTAAAGGCACACCGACATAGCGCGCTTCTATTTATTTATACGCATGAGTGCGCATGAATCGTCACGGTTCCTCATTGACAATAACAATAATAAAATCGAGAGCAAAAACAACAAGATCATGTAATGCACGCGAACCAAGCATCACGTAGTCTTATAACGTGTGTAAGCTCATAAATTGATTTATATTCCTGTTGAGTTTTCAAAGCGAAGTCTTCAACGGCTATCCCCTTAATATTTTGATTTCTTTTGCTCTCGCGCTAAACGAATGTGGAATACTAATAACGTAGTTGCAATCCTAATGATCGTTTGTGTCATTGGTGATTTCGTTTTCTTCCTGGGCAACATATCAGCAAGAAGCAATGCGAAAGGATAAAATTACAACTAATGAATTATTTGTGTGAGTTTGTTTTATAATGAAGGGCGGCAATATGAGCGTGATTTCTTCGATTTTCACAGCTATCCCCGGAATATCAAATAATTAGAAAAAAGGCAAAAAATAATAAAAAGAAATCTAATTTTACGATAAAATTGCAACGTCAACAAATTTTATACAGACAAAGTAACGAGAATATAGTAAATATGATTTGCAATGTATATTAATAATGTGCATTATATTTAATCAGTTTTGTTGTTTTTTTTTGTTTTTTTTTTTTGTTTTGTTTTGCAAGTAAACTTTAATGTGGTGGAAAAAACTTTCACATTAACAATCACTTACACCGCATTAAAAATTAAAGTGTAAGATAATTTCATACGATTAGTTTAGTAATTTACCATACTTTATATGTTACAAATGAAACAATTTTCAACCCAGATAGATTATCGAACAAATTTAACTTTATTCGTAGTATGCATATAATAAAACAGTGACATAAGTAGGAAAAAGTCAGTTAAGACGACTCGTTTAATAAGTTCTATTTAATAATTATCGTTATTTCTCAATTGAGAAAAATTCCAGTTATTTAAGCGATTACAAATTATATGTAATTTTTGTCCTTCGGAAAATGAAATTATTAAAATAATATAATGTCCTTAAGAGTTAACAATTGTCAACAGAAATGTGACGCGAATGAGATAATTATTACACATAGATTGAAATTTTAATTGCAAAGTATGTGTATTTAATACTTGGTAGGTTGCTGAATTATTTGCATCGTCATGAAAATTTGTATTTCGAATAGCATAAAATAAATTCTAAATTTTAAAATCAGTTTAATTTCAGATTATCAAATATGCGATGGCGTTTTCGGGAGTTTTAGGCTTCGGTTCTTTCTTTACGATTTTTTTTTTTTTTTTTTTTTTTTTACAGAAAGAGCTTAGGAGAAATTTTAAATGCAACTAATGTACATTAAGCAACAATATCACAAATATTCGCAAAGTAATTGAAAAAGATAATTCCAAATTGTTCACAAATTTATTTTATCAATTAAAGACATCGATTTTACGACTTATAATGCAAGTTACACATTACATTTATTTTATAGGAATTATTTTTCAATTGTTTATTGAAACTCTTAACAATTTATAATCAATTTCTGTCTTATTAAGATTATATTTGTAATAATAAATAACTTCATGTTTTATCAATAAAATACAAACAAAAAAACAACAATTAAATTTCAAGATTTCTCATTTAAATACAATTATTAAGCTTGTCGAATGCAATAAATACAATTGATATTTCTTATTTTTAATATTACACGAAAAATAATTTGTAAAAGTAAATCGTATTTATATTAACAAAACATTGGAACAATATTGTTAAAAATTTTGATAGGTGACTGTTTATGGAGTTTGGGATAAAATTAGCTTACAATTCTCGACAACAATTGTTTAAAACCATTTTAAGACTTATGAATACGATTTTCGTAAAAGTATTAACAATACTATATAAAAAAGTTAATTATAAAATTTCTTTAAAGAATTAAGTTCCTTTGATAATTGATGTAAATGTTAAAAGCAAAAAATTGTGGCAAGGCTTATTTATATTGAGCTAATGGTACCGGACAAAATCATTAACCGATGAAGACTTTTGTGCCTTTGTACTATTACAATGTAAAAACAACTTAAATGTTGGCAGACTTATTATTTCTGAATCACCAATAAGATCAATAATTATTTATATTAATACTGTACCTACTATTACTATTACAAATAATACTAACAATGATAATAATAATTATTATAATAATAATCAATGAGAACGCTGATGAGAATAATATCAGTAGTAACAATAGCAATAAAAATACATGATGATGATGATGATGATGATGATGATGATGATGATGATGATGATAATGTTAATAGTAGTAGTGGTAGTGGTAGTAATGACAGTGACAAGAACACGAAGAATAATGAAAAAATTATGAGAAGTAAAAAGTCATTTAGAAAAAATATGCTATATAGAAGAGTTTTAAAGGCTTGCAAAGACGCGTAAGTTTTATGCGAACATCCACGGGAAGAATGCAAAACGCGAAGTTCAGAGTCTGCTAATGCAAAATAATACACAGGGGAATAACAAGACTAAGGCTTCTTAGTTCTCGGTTCGAAAGAGAAAGATAGCGAGAGAGAGAGAGAGAGAGAGAGAGAGAGAGAGAAGATACGCTCGTTATCGGCAAAAAGCGCGCGCCTAGGCAAATTTCGCGGAATAAGCGCAGGTCGTATCCTGGGCCGACGGAGGGAGCAGCTCGAGAACGTTGCTGTCCGCAGGCTTTGAAAGATTCCCGCTGATCGCACGATTATTCGCCGCCCCCAAGTCCGTTGCTGCTTACCCAATGCTCTGTGCCTGGTGCCTGCTGGAACTCCGATCCCGGCAGTGTGTTTTCTCGGGTGCCGCACGTACGACTGAGGCGAAGCGGCGACTGCACCAGCATCACCAGCGGCATCGTCATTAGATAACTTTCTCTCTCTCTCTCTCTCTCTCTGGCTCCATCCCGTCGCCTGGGTGTGTTGGGCTTTTCAAAAAAAGAAAAAAATAAACAAGAGAGTCGTACTGCCGCCGCCACTGCTGCTGCTGCTATACCGCTTCCCTTTCCAATCTATCTCTCTCTTTCTCTCTCTCTCTCTCTCTCTTTCTATCGCTCGCGGACATGTGCGTGACTGTAGTGGGGTGCGCGTTACGTCGATTGACGTACGTTCGCCGGAGCTTTGGAAGCGCAGAGCCATCGCGCGGGGCTCGACGGGGGCCTACCTTAAATTCATTTTGAAATCGCCGCGGGCTCGGCAATGTCCGAATGCTGCCGCCCTTCCTACCTATTGAGCATTCACGCAATTCGCGTTCGTAAGGAAGGTTTTTAGAGAACTCCGGACCCCCAGGTGCTCGATAGCGACAAGTTCCCTTCCTCCTTATTTCGCTTCATCACATTATCACGAAGTACGTCTTGATGCACTTTATTCTTATTCACGTAGAGCTAGTTAATCTTATTGGATTTATTAGACAAACTGTATCCTTATTTTTTGATGGATTTTTTGAGAGAAATCGGAAGCCCCGCTAATTAAAAGTAGTGTTAGTAGTTAGTTGATTCTCTGGTCAAGAATGTGGTGAATTTCTTGCGTTCGCGTGTACAAACAATTGAAAATAACAATGAAGATTATAAGAATTAATTTTATTTACAATAATTCATCATTACAATTACTATTAATTGAAGTTTTTATTATTTCAATAACGAGTACTTTATGGTCAATTTGACAACATTTTTTTAACTGGGATCAATGTTTAATTCTCCTATTCTTTACCGAATGTTTTTATAAGATTGTGAAGAAGCTCTTTTTGTTCTACGTCAAAGAATGACCACAATTCGCTCTCAAGTTCCAATATAGCCTCGTAATCTCTCGATTGACAAGCGAGCACGAGAGACTGAAGTAACAACATTTCGTCTTCCGTCATATTCGGTACTGCAAAAGTAATGATGACTAAGCTTTCTTAAAACCATGAGAATTAGCTACTTTTAACATACCAGAAATGCGCGTGTCCTCTGCCCAAGCATATTTCTCCAGGACTTGAGCGAGAGAAGGAGCCAGCCTCTGTGGCGTAGGTCGCATAATCAACAATAGCAATACTCTACTAATCTCGCATTTATGTAATATATTTCTATAATTATCTATTGTCCTGGCACCAAGGTGATTCTCGATCATTTCTACCAATTCGGTAAGAACTCGCAACGCCGAAACATAATTACCTAGCGATGTAAATTATAATTATTAAAAATTATTGTATAGAATATGTGAATTTCTCCGTACTATATATTGTAAAATTTTCAATATGAATCTTTACTACTTGAGACTTAATATACAATAATTATCTGTCTTATGCTAATCCTTATCTGTTTTCATCTTAAAGGACAATATAGACATTACCTTGTTTTATATAATAGGTCACTAATAGGTTTATTGCTTGTACAGTGGGATGCGTGTGAATAGCGGAACATAAGTATTTGATTCCTTCAGAGTTTGAACCAAGCGCTAAAGCCAATTCTATCGCTAAACTCGATGACATCATTTGAAAACCATCTTGATTCTCGCATCTTGTAAGCGCATGATTAAAAGCATTTATCGCTACTTGTATATCTTCGTCGCTTATCGACAGACACCCAATATCCTTATTATTCTTGTTAGCAATTAAAAATTGTCTCCCAGCTTTTGTCAAGAAATTAATTTCATAAATACAATTTCCCACCGATTCTTGACATCTTGCTGCCGCTAGCCAACACCAACCCGCGTACTGATGAAGCTCCTTTTGTTCGCAGTTAATAGCTAGAGACTCTGTTAATGCCATGAAAAAAAAAAAATATATAATCTAGGTTATTTCATTTTGAAGAAACAAAAAAAATTAAAATTTCCAAATATATATTATGGATATAACGTTCTTTACAAAATTACACTTATAACATCACCATCGATTACGTCAATGTCACTAAGCATAAAATTTTTAAATTAAATTTAGGCAACAATATACTTTTATATTAAAAATAATTGTCACATTCTTTATCAAATAATATACATATAATTTTATCGGCCCCGTTAAAATTAACGGTTATATGAAAAAGAATTTTTCAATTTCTATACGTTATTAAGTAAACTAATGATTTTGAATGCTATTAAACTTATTAAATCGATGTATATTTATTATAATTAACATAATTATTTTTGCCAATTGTCGTTACCAAATTGATCCGAAGCTTCCGATACGTTGGGTTTTCGTAACAAACGCCTGAAAAACAAAATACACTTCGGGTAATAAATTTTTTAACCTCACGTACTACATATTACATGGTATCTTACTTTTTTAGTTTACCAGATATCACACGATACTTTAAGAGAAAATTATCGGAGTCTGTACTTTTATGACTAGCTTGATCTCTTAGAGCCATTTCATACGCAAATACTTTAAGCAATTAAAAGATTTCGATTTTCCCAATACATTATACAATATTCCGCAAACCGTATTGAATGGCAAATTTTACTTATATCGGACGCTACGTTCGCCATGCCATACCCTCTTTACAAGAATTTAGTTTATTACTTTTTTGTTGCTTCAGCCGCTGTGGTGCGATGTACGATCTAAGCACAGTTTAATCAAGCAAATTTTCCGAGCAGTTTTTTTAGGGTTATGTTGAAGATATATATATATATATATATATATATACACATAGAATGTATAAGGGTGGACATGTAATTAAGTTGTACATTTAATTGTTATAAATATAAAGTTCTGTGTGTGTGTGTGCCGTAAGTTTATGAACGCATGACACTAATAGAATTAAAATTTTCAATTATCGGCCGGCAGAGAAGTGTGTTCAATCGTGTGAAGCCTAAGATTTAGTAGAATGGTTTCAAATTGAGTTAAATACCGTTCTATTTTACCAATTTTATTATGATTTTTTTATTGAATTTTAAAGGCTGTCAAGCAATAAAGGCGAAATGTACAGATATTTTAATGTACCATGTGAAAAGTTACGGAATATTCGTAAAGCATTAATTGTCGAATACTTGCCGAAAATGTGCCTGTTTTGCAACTTGTATCACCGCTACACACCGAGATGTTAGTATAATTTTAATGCTGAATTTATTATTATTAAATTTTCAGTATGGCATTATATTAATTTGCCGCAGATAAATGTATTTCATACTTGTTTGTATTTATATTTAGCTTTAAACAATGGTTACTTGAAGGTTATGATTCATTTTTACTATCTCTATACAGTATTGTGCTGCAATTACTTTATTTTAACGTAATTTTATAGAGATCGTTGCCTTATATTCTTTTATTTGTAGTATTGCAACTTCGAGGGCACTCGTCAAATACAAATGTTATTGTGTTAAATCCAGTGAAAAGAAAAAAAGTCAAAAGAAAATCTAAGAATTATGCGGAACTTTTGGAAGGTACTCATTCGCTATTATAAAACATATCTGGTATTTTAGCCATTAATATAACTATAGTTTATTTTATAATTATAATAATCAACATTTATATGTCTATGTATTTATGTAAATGATAATAAAATTATGTGTGCAAAAATGCCTTAAAATTGTGGTTTAAAATTCTGGCTTGAAATTAATTTAATACGACAGATATATTTATTTCAATGTTGATTTCTTTCATTTTCATCCACTTTAGTTACTGATTCAACAACAAATAACACAAAGGCAGCAGTTCAGAAACTTAATGTGAATCATTTTTCTAAACTAGTCGCTCAACCAAATTTTACGCTGGATAAATTGGATAAAATTTATCACAACGACAAATTGTTAAATGAAAAAAAAGGAGCGCAACAGAAATTAGAAAAGTCTAATTCAAATAATTTATTGCTATATCAAGGCCATAAAAATTATGTACGTTATATATTAGAGCAAAACACCTTGAGTTTTCTTTATATTTTAATAAAATGATTCATAAATTTTTTAATTGAATCTCTGTATTACAGATAGAAAATTTATCAATACTTCCAAACGCCACTGTAACAGACGCTCAAAATAAACAAGAAAATGTATTAGACTCATTAGAGAATAATGATAAACTGATAAAAGTATTGGATAATCATTTTTCAGATGAATCTGAATTGAATGAAATTTCATACTTGGCTGATTTCATACATAATAAATCATCGAGCGAACGGTAAACAATTGTATTGGACATTTGTGTAGTCCATTTAATTGATTTTTCAAATTTCAAATCTTACCTTATGTAGATGATATAGTTTTTGTAATTCAATATTTTTTACTAAAGCAGTTATGAAACAATTACTACATTATATTTAATGATAAATTGTTTGTTAATTCTTTAACGTGAAACTATTTATCTTTTAAATATATTTGGTATAACAATGGGCAAATGTCTTATATAAAAATAATAATTTATATCAATATTTAGTTAGGATATGCTTCTTAAGTAAATCAATTTGCTAGTATCAGGTTCATATACTTCAATATAAACTTAATATATTTTCAAATATTTTTTAAATATAATATAATTCTTTATTAAGTACATTTGTTTATAAAATCAATAAATTTAACTATAAACATAATTTAGATTTAAATGTAGATTGCCGTATACTCTGTTTTAATTGCTCATAACATTTTTATACGATGACTTAAGAAAATCAAAACGAGTGATATTTTTTAATGTATAGTTACGATATAATATATTATTAATAATTCGCTATTTTAATTTTATTTTTTTCTCGATTTATTAAAGACAAATTATGCTAGACGTATTAAAGTTTTATTTTAATAATAATATTGCGATTAAAGGTAATTCAATTAAAAAATAAATAGAAATGCATAACTTAATGTTAATTATTTGTTTAATATATACAGTGTAGAGAAAGATCATTTCTTGAAGTTAATAAACGAAAAAAGTCTTGATGTAAATGTGGAACCCAAAACTTTAAATACATTAATTTCTAAAGAAAGATCAAAATTCTCGGATATAATAATATTAGCATATATGAATGTATATGCATATTCTCATAACTCGGAATCAATAACGAAGATGTTGGAGTGGTTCAATAGTTTGAAATCTTCTAAAGATGTATATATTACTAATATAGATGTGTACAATATTTTAATAGAAAAATTGTCTTTCGACACAAATCTAAAAGGCATATTGAACAATTTAGAATTTTTAAGAAAACATAAAATACAACCTAATCCTCAAACCTATGCATATATATTTAATTGCATTGGACGTTTACAAGCTACCGATAATGAAAACTTAGGTAAATTATTTAATGTTACTTTAACGTTATTATCTGTAATATCGAGATAACATTCAATAACTCTTACAAATCTTTTACAGATATTTTTAAAAAAATCAAGTCAGAATTAATTCATAATGGGATATCATTAAACGATGTAGTAACAAAGTCTATATTTGTAAACGATCAAAGAATGTATGTTGAAAAAGTTGCGAAAATGTTAGATAACCAATTTCAACCAGTTTATAGTATTCCTGATTTAAGCTACGATTGTACATTATTAACAAATTTCACGAAAAATAAATCTGTCCTACCAAGTACCGTTGAAAATCTTGTGGCATATGACGATGTTACCAAATTGCTTAAAAAACAAATAAAAATGGAATTAGATGGTCTAACAACAATTTATAGTATTGCCAAGAGAAGTAAAACCAAACAAGATAGTAAAATTTTGGTAGGATTTTGTTGTCTTTAGATATAATTTTTTATAAATATATTTATATGATTTTAAAAGGCTTTGCCTTGAAAAAAAAAAAATTAATTAATAACTAGTGCTTTTCATTTTATTATTATTATTATTGTTTTTTTGTTTGTTTTTGTTGTTGTTGTTGTAGAAAGCAAAAGTATCAAATTTAAATAAAATATGGAGAAAAGTAGCATCCGATGCTTTTCATAAAAATCTAAAAATGCTGAAGAATATCGAATCATTTAAATCACAACAGATACCATTATATCCATATTTAATTGTTTTAAAGCCAGAAGCATATGTCGATATTATAATGAGAAAAGCTCAAAAAATAGCATTGGTTTCTGAAGATTATAGTGTATCGTACATTTCAATGTGCTATGATACAGGATTTCAAGTGTATCAGAAATATGAGGTATGATGACAATAATTTTAAAACAGATTCACATTGGAGAATAAAATATAATAAATCAAATGCAATTAATGCAATTTCTAGGCACAGGTTAAGCAAAATAATGGAGTACACGATAAAATAATTCAAATTTATAAGCAATACTGTGATTGGTTTATTCAGAGAAACGATAAACTTAATTGTAGAGAGAAGTGGGCCTTATTAGCGCACACGGCTAATAAGGATGGCGTGTCAACAGATTTTGCTTTACCCAAATGGCCAAGCACCGTTTTTGCAGCAATAGGCAAATTTTTATTAGAAATTTTAATAAATGACTTTAAAATTAATAAAAATTTATCGAAATATAGCAATCATAACGATTGTGATGTACCAGCATTTTTCAAAATATTTAGAAATAATGGTTACAAAATGCAGGAACAGGTTTTTAATTTTTCAATTTTTCAAATATGAAAAATTTAGGACTAACTTGGTAGATAAGTATAAATGAGAATAATAATGTTGAAAATAATGTAAATGTAGAATTTTCATAATTTCAATTATTTAGCATGTAAAAATTTTAAAATGATTGTTGTTAATGATAAATTATAATCTAGCCGAGCCGAGTTAATAAAATTAAATTTTACGAATAATACAATTTTTATTAACTTTGAGATCTTTTTGTGAAATTTATGTATTTGTTAAGTCACTTTCTGATATAATGGACGACTAGTAAATATATATCACGTAAATCAGATTTACACTTGTATACTTATAAACTTATTTAGCACTAGTATTTTTCACTTTTATTATAAATTTTGTTTTGGATCTTATTTGTTATTTTTATTTTTATCAGCTTAAGCCACACCCTCTTGTATCACAATTGTGTAAAGAATCAGATCTAGAATATTTAACATTTGAAACTATGTTTGTACCATTATTGTGTCCACCGCTTCCATGGACTTCTATGGATCATGGGGGATATATTCTTAGTCAATCCGATCTAATAAGATTGAACATGTCATACGTAAGGGCATATAAATTTCTTACAAATTTAGATCGGAGGTATCTGAAATTTATAATATTTATTTTTAATCGTTCTCTATTTATTTAGAAACAACGTTTCGAGAAGAAAGTAAATTCAGCGCCAAAGCAATTATTTCCTGCTCTGGATAGCTTAAATCAATTAGGATCTGTTCCGTGGACTATTAATTCAAAGATCCTTGATATTGCTATTCAGGTAATTTTGTTAACAATTGTAATAGCACGTGATTTTATTAAAATAAGATTTTTTTCTTAAATTTTTTAAACAATAATTAGTTAAATTATTTTAATCTCCATAAATTTCATAAGGTTTTTCAAAATGATGGATCAATAAAGTTCCATATACCCCGGCCACCGACAGTACTTGGGCCACTTCCTCATTTATCCAAAACTGCCGATGACGTGCAAAAGAAGAAAATAATGAAAGCAAGATTTGACTTGCAAAGAAAGAAAAATGAGATGTATTCGATGTGGTGCGACACATTGTACAAATTATCTCTGGCAAATCATGTAAATTTTTATTTATATTATATACATATTAAATATAAACGTAATTATTTACTATTCTGTAATAAGGTAATTGGTAGTGAACGAAATTTTTAAACGATAATTTGAACATTAACTAAGCGCCGTAAAATTTTACTCGATTATAATAATTTTCTAATCTTTAAAATACTATTGTGCATTTAATAAGAATTTAAAATAATTTAAAGAAGAATTTAAATAAAATATTATTTCAATTAGTAATAGGATCGTTTAAATTTGATAAAATTTATGTAAAATTTTGGAATTTTAATGTGCTATTTTTTTTTTTTTTTTTTTTTTTTTTTTTTTTTTTTTTTTTTTTTTTTTTAATTGAATTACATTATGTTCTTGAATAATTAATATAGAATTGTTAATTTTAGTTTAAAAATAAAATATTTTGGCTGCCACATAACATGGACTTTCGTGGACGTGTATATCCGATACCGCCTCATCTAAATCATTTAGGCTCGGATTTATCTAGATCTCTACTCATATTTGCTTTAAAGAAGCCACTTGGCCCTAAAGGACTCGATTGGTTGAAGATTCATGCTATAAATTTGACAGGTTTAAAGAAAAGAGAACCAATTAGTAATCGCTTAATCTATGCCAATGAAATCCTGAATAAAATCCTTGATAGTGCTGAAAAACCCTTAACTGTAAGTTATTATGAGATCACACGTATAATTAATATTTTTTAGCTGTTTAATACAAATTATTTTCAATATTTTATTCGATATTTTTAAGTAAATTAAAAATATGATATCAATGAGATGAACAAGACTTTAAAATAATAAATCATAAACTTTCGAGATTAGTACTCGTAACAAAGTAATTTCACGTTACTTAAATTTTATGTTCTTATAAGGGTGAACTGTGGTGGACTCATTCGGATAATCCTTGGCAAACTTTAGCCACATGTATGGAAATAGATGCAGTATTGAAATCAAAGGATCCTGAGAATTTTATATCAGGATTCCCGATTCATCAAGATGGTAGTTGTAATGGTCTACAACATTATGCAGCTCTTGGTAGAGATGAAATTGGTGCTTTAAGTGTTAATTTACACCCAAGTGATGTTCCGCAAGATGTATATAGCACAGTTGTGTCAACGGTAATTATATTTCTCCTTTATTCCCCATCAAAATGTGCACTATCAACCAATATTTCATAAAAGTAAAGCACAACTAATGCTTTACATTTCAGATTGAAGATATGCGTAAAAATGACATTAAAGAGGGCAATAAAATAGCAGCGCTGCTAGAAGGACACGTTAAAAGGAAAGTTATTAAACAAACTGTAATGACAACTGTATATGGAGTAACAATGTATGGAGCTAAATTACAAATATTACGCCAATTAAAAGGTATTGACATTCAATAAGGGGACTAATTTAGGAAATTCCAATTTCAATATAACATTTTTAATTTTACATAGTTGACATTTAGATAAATATAAATATAAAGGCGTATAATACGTAAATTTTGTCAGGAGTTTGTTTGAGTATAAAATTGAAAGACATATTTTGCGTATATCATAAATAATTTAATGTAATTATCATTTTATAAACAATAGATGCTACTAATTTTCCCGAAGAATCTTTGTGGGAGGCAACAATGTACTTATCTAACAAAACGTTCGAAGCTCTCAAGACAATGTTTAAGGGCGCGAAAGAAATTCAGGATTGGTTCTCGCAATGTTCGCACTTTATTTGCAAAGTGCGTCAGGAAAACATGGAATGGGTAACTCCATTGGGATTTCCCGTTGTACAACCATACGCCAATCATAAGCAAATACCAAAATATAAATTAGATGTAAAAAACATATATAGCGTCTTTAAACTGTGAGTAATAATGTAATTATATATAGAAAAAAAAAAAATAACGTGAACGGTATAGTTTTTTTTTTTTTTTTTTTTTTTTTTTTTTTTTTTTTTTTTTTTTTTTTTTTTTTTTTTTTTTTTAATTGAATGTCTTATAAAATTTTATTGTGCAATGGTGTATTATTTTAGAATCATCGTATTTAATATCTTATATTAAATTGTCGTCCTTTTTACTAAAAAAATTAACACTAGGTTTTCTACAAAATGTTTCAAATATCACTAAGCTTATAAAATTATTCCTTATTATTATTGTGCAGGAAACCAGATTCAAGAAAACAGAAAAATGCTTTTGCTCCAAATTTTATTCACTCTCTAGACTCTAGCCATATGATGCTTACTAGCCTTCACTGTGAACAAGAAGGCATTACATTTGTATCTGTACACGATTGCTTTTGGACGCATCCTTGTAATGTCGAAATTATGAATAAGGTAAGATCCTTTATATTTACGTTTGTTGTTTATTACTGTAATTGCGTAAATTTAGCGCTTAAGTAAGTAAAGAATGACGAGCAACATTATTGCAGGTGTGTCGAGAGCAGTTTGTTCTTTTACATTCTCAGCCCATTCTCAATGATCTTTCTAAATATTTTTATGACAATTTTGGTTTTAATAAGTAAGTTTTTAAAATTTTTATGTCACTCTTGGTATTATTAAAATTTATTTACAGCGATATGTTTATATATTTTCAGCTCACAAGAATCTGTAAATTCAAATAATTCGGACAGAAAATTAAAAGTGAAAGAAAAGTATAACAATGTATTATTAAAAGTCCCAAAACAGGGTGACTTTGATATTAAAAAAGTTTTATCGTCAATATATTTCTTCAGCTAAGCTTTGTAGAAACCATATGTTTAGTAGCAAAATTAGGTAAATATATTATTTCACTGAATTTTAAAATTTATTTTTTATTTTTTAATAATATCTTATAATACTTATTATATTCTTAATATTTCTACAACATCCAAATATAACATAGTATTTGTAAAAAGTGTATTAAACGAACATTTATATGACTGGTAGGTGATAATAATTATACTCTTTCGTATCCTAGTTACTGTAAAATTGAAATAATCAAAACTTTGTGGAAAAATATTTTTTGTTCTTGTACATATGCTGCATATCCAAGTGTATTATTTTATCTTTATCATCTGTGCACGATGCAATTATTGAATGTTTGTATAAATTTTTAACAAGTAGTTCAATTTTCATTATCTTTTAAATTAAAAATATCTATTAAAAGTTTTGCTGCGGATTAAAAGATGTAATTAAATTTTTAAATTAAAATAAATGAAATTGATTAACATACCTAATATATTAATAGCTTTATTTATATACAAACTATAAACTTGATTTTCTAAATTTGTTTCTTTTTTTTTAAGTTGTAAATAGTATTTTTAAGTAATATTTATTAAAATACATTTGTTGCTATAACTTAATATATGTTTAGCATTATAATATTAATGAAATTAAAATAAAAGAATTCATTATACATTCATTCAATATGTAATAAATAATGTATAAATAGATAAATTGAGTGAAAACTATTATTAACAGATAAAATGTTTACATTTTCAACAATTGTCTGATTTAGTGATTTTCTTTATTTTCTAATGCAATACTCTTGATACATTTACCATTTTAATCAACACCGCTAAATGCAAAAGCAATTGATACATATTATATATTTTCTTATAGTATATTATATAATTTATAATTATTCAATTATGATTGTACGTCATAAAAGTAGTTAAAATTAAAACATAATTATATAATAATGTAGACTTAATGTTAAAGAATATTTATTACTAATTAACTAATTTTTTATTATTTCTAATTTATGTAAAATAATTATTATTATTTCATAATAGTTTTTATAAACATTATCTGCGTCGATATTTATATGATTGAGAAATGTAATTAAATTTCAATTATTACATTGTTTTTAAAAATAATTACTTAATTTATAATTATTGTAATTGATTTTTAATAAATATTCGTGTAGCAGGTATGAAACCTAGCTTCATACTATGACTATTAATATCCGTTTTTTTTTTCATTTAGAAAAAGGCCTTTGCATTCGATAGATAAACGATAGAAATTGGGACATAATGAGCCAAACACGATGTAATAGTAGAATTATCAAATATATTAGTGGTTTTTAGAAAGTCTACCATGTTATTAATAAAAATTCTGTTTGCTAATAATATAGTAATGTTTATTAATTATTTATGTGTCTTTAAAAAATATACGTACAGTAGGACATGAAAGCGGTGTTTAGAATATCTTAGCGATGAAAAATTGTGGATATTAATTATGTGATGATTAATTAATTATTATTTATAGAGGTTGCCAAGTGAAACATTATTATTATCAAACTTTTGATTTTAATTTTACATCATTAAATTATAATTATATACAATTATATATATATATATATATATATATATATATATATATATATATATATATATATATATATATATATATATATATACATATCGATTAATTTTTAGGATCGAGAACTTGATTGTTATGTAAGCATTTTGAATTTAAAAAATTATGTTTAATCAACAGTTGTAAAAACTGTAGATAATTTATTCATTTGTAGCTTTACATAACGATGACAAAAAAAATATTTGAAGGAGCATTTCAAATGAAAAAATTATTAAATTTTAAATTTTTTATCCAATGAACGAATCGAAATGTTTTATATATCCAATGGGGTATATTACCTATACGAGTGTACAAAAGTAAATTAATGAGAAATATTGCTACTGCATTTGAAATAAAAATTAAAATTAAAATAAGACTTGTAAACAATGCATGAGCAATAAGTATAAATTTCATTTACACGAACATATTAAACTTTCTTATTGGTAAAATATATTAACTTTCTAAATTCAGTTCCATATTTCACTTCACTTATGTAATGAATGGCTTTGCTAAATAATAAATGCATGAGAATTTTATGTAATAAATGGTCAAAAGCTGCTTTATATATTAGAATTAGTATTAAAAAAATTTTTCATTAAATTCTGAAGGAGGTCAAACACGGATTTATAGCAAACATACCTTTAATATAAATAAAGCATAATTCATGGATCGTAGAAGACAAGGAAGCAATTTATTCGACTTTATAGAATTGCGACCTTATGGCTCAAGTAAAATTCAGTTTTAAATAATAATTATTAATTATAAATTAGTTAAATGGAATTATATATAAACGTAAGAAAAAAGAAATGTATTTTTATTAGTAAGGATTAATTTGAAAAAGATTTTTTAATTAAAGAGGTAGCCAATGTAATTATCATAATTTTGTAAATGATTTTATTAGAATACCGATAAGAAAGATTTCTAATAATAATACTTATTATTTAAAAATGGTTTGCTTAATATAATATTTGTATTTATTAAAACATTAATTTTCATTCATAAATGTAGAGAGAGTTAATTAAGGGTGAATATACATGCATTACAGTAGTAATATTAAAATTAAATTTGGTAAAAGATTTGTTACTAAGAGTCAATATTATTATTAAATTTATTATTATTATGACTTGGAAATTTACAAAAAAAAAAAAAAAAGAAAACTTTTTTTTTAAAAACTATATATTGGAATAAAATATGACTTATATTTTTAAATATAATTATTAAAAATCTTATTTTAAAATAGTGGATGATTTGTAACGTCGCATTCATTATCTGGAAGCCGTTGACAAGTTGGTGTGGGTGGCACTTCACAAACACATCTCACGCATACGGAACTATAGTCGGTTGCTTGGTTCAACTCATCTCCGATTTCCATTGTCAGATTACCAAACTTGCACTTATTATTATCTATAAATTTGTTGTTTTTATTATTTATCATTTCAAGGAGAAAAACACCTCAATTACCATTATCATTGTCATCATTATAACAACCAAGGAGGGACGTAATGGAACTTTTATATTTGTAAATCAGAGCATTATAAACTTTTTAAATTATCTTTACAATTCATAAGAAATAAAATGAAAATTATTATTCTCAAATTATATAATAAGTAACGCCTATTTAACTTTCAAACAATTTATATAACAATTATATGTATACATATTCGTAGCCAAAACAGTTATAGAATAAAGTGTTATTATTTGCCTTTAATTAAATAATTTATTGTTTATTACTCCGATGATTACGGTTAAATTGCATGAAAAAACAATGTTTTTATTGGTAAGATATAAATTGCAGAATTTTTTTTCATGAAATCAAGCGAATGCGCGCCTTTCTTCAAATAAACTTTTTATTTTTAATATTTAAGCCTCGTCGTGAAATCGAATATTAAAAAAAAAAAAAAAAAAAAAAGAAATCGCACTCAAATATATTGCTTTCGTATTGTATAATAAATGCGTTATAATTAGTTTAACGATGTAATAAATATTTATTAATGTATTATCCAGCGCAAGTCAAATAGGCATATATGTCAAATAAAATATTGCTATACATATAAGAAAAATAATAGGTACTGCTCTAATAAAAAATTCTTTCAATATATCTAATGTCTAATATTTAAAAATTCTTTAATTAAATGAAACTCTTACCAGGCACTGACAATATGGGGACTATTCTTCCATTGAGCAATTTATCATCCTTGTTTTCTAAACAATAAATGCATGATTTATTACGACTGAATGTTAATTTAATTTATGAAATAATGCAATATTTGAAATACATACGGCATCTGTGTTGTAAAGGACAACTGTCTTGTGGTTTCTGATCCGAATAAAATACTGGTGGACATTTATTATAAATTTCTATAGCCTGATGCAGCTCGGTGCCACAGTCAATCTTTCTGCAGAATGGTTTTACATTTTCCCCTGTAACAGCATTTAATTATACATTACTTTTTATAGATACGAGTCTCATTATTCTTTAGATTATTATGATAAGAAAAAAAAAAAGTTTAAAAAAATTCTTTGTGAAAATTTATTGTATATTATATCGGGATACGATTTAATTCAATGTAAAGCATCCAAGTATTATTTAAAATATAATATATTTAATATAGTAATGTTTAAAATTGATAATGGATAAATTATCAACTCATATTAACTAATATTTACTTCCAAATGCAAAAAGAATATTCTCAATATCAAACTTATAGATCAGTTTTAAAAAGTCATTTTTCTATAATTACGAATAAAAATATAATTAATATTTTATTTGTTTTTATTAGTACTTTACCGAATGAAAAAGAATAAGAAAATTTTTACATCACGAATTTTATTATTACACCATAATAATAATAATAATAATAATAATAATAATAATAATAATAATAATAATAATAATGATAATGTATGTACGAATATATTATTATGTAATGATAATAATTTTTGTAGGTTATCCAAGTTAGTATTTTTATTTTTTGTTAGAAATATTTGAAGTAACCGAACTATTTACATTATTTTAACTATGCAAGAATTAAATATTAAAAAACGGCATTTCAATAGCCCCATAGCTTAGTCTATTAATTATTGATTTTGAAATATCAAGTTTTTATTCTATGATAAGAAATTATCTATTATCACTGGATTTTTACGAAAATCTATGTTATCGGTTACAAGTTTAAAATAAATCCTACCGGGCTTTTAAAGGTCATTATTATAAATATACTATTAATATTTTAATTATTTTTTTTTTTTCAAATTTTCTTTAGCAAATACTTAAAATTGCGTAAGTCAGATAAATTGTTGTAAGTCAGTTTTCCAAAATAATAAGTAATACTTACCACGGTATCCTGGCAAACACTGGCATATCAAATCAGGATCTTTCATTGGATAAAAGTTCATTCCTTGCATATACGTTTGCCCATCAACTTCACATATCATTTTATGTTGAGAATCGTCAGTAGCTAAAACATGAATTATAAGGTCTTAAAAATAACGTGTGCCTCGTTTAAGAAAGAGTATGCGAATGATTATAAGAAAAGTAATGTAAACTTATATAGATAGAAATAAGTATTATGGTTGATTTTTATATTTGATAATTAGCATTACTCACGGCAGATTTCCCTTCCACAACAACTGTCTAAGCTTTTCCCTAAGAAGCATCCTTCTCGAATTGGAAACATACATTCTGCTACAGCACATGTAAACCCTGCTCTTAAATAATATAAAATGTAAATTTGAAATAATAATATTATAAAATTAATCAATGAAATAAAATTACAGAAGTTATATGTGTGCGTCTATGTGTATGTGCATACATGAGGTGTGAAAAACCAATAGAAGATTGTATTATCTTAAAAACGGAATATGTTTCAATTTACTCTTTATTGGAATGTATTTATTTACATTTATACTTACATGCCTGCGTATGACCTTTTACAAGTGCAGCCTATATTGCATGGATTACTTTGATCTTCGTCTTTAATTATTTGTCCAATATTATATGTTTTACCATTGAAATAACATTTATCCTTTGAACGTCTACTTAAATGGGAACAATCGTAACGGATAGCACAACAATCGCCAGGTTTATCATAAATTGGTTTGCATTTAAGCTCTTCTAGGTATCGTATTGGACCCTTACATTGTGTTTTGTCACAATCTATTACACATATAGAATGGTATATTTAATAATTTTCATTATAAAATTGAACGCGTTAAATGCGTTTGCATAAATCGGTTTATGTATGCTTGTTACGTCGATTATTGGTATAAATTGGGGAATATAAAGTTTAAATGAAAAAATGTTGACATAAAAAAATACTATAAATTTTACGGAGAAAATATTTATAATAAATTTTTATATTATCTCGTATCAGAATTATACTATTCGTAGAACAGTCAATTCGGAAAAAAATTATGGATAACGCGTGAATAGTTAATAGTAATACTTAAATATATACACTTTAATTAAATTATTTTATTAGATTTTCCCCTTAGTTTTAATGTGATTGTGAAATTTTAGGTATTACGATGATTAAAAATCGTTTGATGCAAACATAATATTAGTCAAATCATTTACGTTTAGCTGAAACGGTCGAGACGAGTATTAAGCAGAGGCAAATTTGCAAAAACGCCTGTAAAACACCGCGTAACGCGGATTCTCTAATAGTTCTATTCATAATCAATACAATACGACACTGAATTTAATTTCTATAATTGCGCATCTTTTAAATAGCATCACCGATGCCTTGAAATCATATGAAAAGAGAAGGGGATGTTTACTAAAAGACGAGAAACGTTTTTGATCATGAATGCTTAATTATTCCTTTGAGGTTGTTTATGCATATAATCTTTCAATCTAGTTGGTATTCTTAAATTTATACAAGTCAAATAAATGTAAATTTAAACAATTATCCAAAACACAAGTCTACAGTTTTTATACAAAATTTAATTCTAAAGCGAATCCATATTAATATTAGTATTAAAAATTACATTATCTTTAATGTTTTAAATTGATGCAAATCAATTATTAATCAGCGAGTTAATAAAGTTAATTTAAAAGAATCTAATATTTTTATTCAAATTATTATAAAGTCAAATTGCAATTCATTAGTATTTATATTATTTATATTATATAATACTTTGTATTCATAATATCTTAAATATTATAACAATAAATTAAAAATGTAGTGTCAAGATTTTAGGTAAAGTATATTCAAATTTGGATTAAGTTGATATATCAAGTTTTTGATGTGAAATTAATATTCGGCAGATTTAATAGATTTTTAACAGAATTTATACAATTACTTTAACACTTATATTTTATTTATATAATTGTATTTAATAAATTTTTCAAGCAAATATGAACTTTATTTTACAATAAAACATTAGCTTAGGCCACAATATTAGGATTGAATAATTTTATTCATTAAGTCATTCTACTTAGCATTACATCATTATAAATCCATATTTAAAAGAAGCTAGATAATTAAAAAATAAATTGAGAGATTAATATATTTACTTGTACGAATATTTGCAGAATTTATGTCATAATTTTTGCATAATTATTGGTTTATAATCGATATATACATATGCATATATATATATATATTTTTTTTTTAAATTATATTTATTTCAGTATTTTATAAGTAACTTTGTTTCAAACGATAAAAAGCTAAATAAAATTATATTATCGTTTAATTGATTTAATTTTTAATTAAATTAATGTTTAATTTAAGTAATATCTACTTTACACGCATAAAATGATAATTAACTTAATTACATTTAACTTATTTGTTTTAGTATGAGAAGTTTTTAAAGTTAAAATAGGACTTTTGTTTCATGTAAATATTTTTATATAATTAATTTTTAATATTAGTTTCATTGAATTATATATTAGATGCAAACATTTTTATTCATATTTTTTTGCATTACGACTTAATAAATAAGATCATTGATTACATTTCAAGAGCAAACACAGTACACAATACTTTCGACTTTGACGAATATTAAGTAAGTTGTTTATCTTCATACATATTATAGTAAAAAACAATATATTCGATTACAATATAAATTTTTCAATAGATTTATATAGATTTATTCACCTTTTTTAGTTATACATATATTCAACATTTAGTTTTGTATAAATTTATATATATAAGGTTAATGAATATAATTAAAATTAAAAGTATAAAAATCGATTTGATGAGCATTATATTTATATACACATCTGTAAATATTTGTAATACGTTGATTAGGTTTTCAGTTTTTCAACTTCATCTTACGAATGATCCAATTTTTGTGATCCACGAATAACAATATATTATATGAATCATGATTTCATCGTATTCAACGATCACTACTATTTATCTACAAGTATATAATATTAATATTAAAACTTTTGATAGTGTATCCTTTTAATTATTGTGAATGTGGTTATTATAAAGCTTTGTCGATCAATTAGCTTAAGAATGACATTTGCTTATCGAAGTTTCCTAGACTCTTTTGTATTTAGTTTTTTTTTTTTTTTTTTTTTTTTTTTTTTTTTTTTTTAACACAGCATTAGTAATAAGATTAGAGATTATTAATAGTACTGAGAGAAACAAGCGTTTTGTAATTTTTATGTAAGCGATAAGTTTTCTACTTAAATACAATCGTTAAGTAGAATTCAATAATAAGTAACATATATAAATAGTTTTATAGACAAAGGAAAATTTGCTAGATTAAATTTTAGTAAGGAAGTCATTTAAAATGGCAATTAGTTTTAATTTAAACATGATTTGTACGAGTACTTACCCTATCTTTAATTAACGAAACTCTATGTAAGTTTTAATGTAAATACTATACACGTTCGATTGTATGTATTAATTTAATCGAACAATTATTACTCGTGTAATATTATTGTGAACATGAGATTGATATTTTTCGTTGGTATTATTTTATAACGAAAATGACTACTTTCAATGAATTGAAAATACAAATAGAAAGAGATTATTTATTAAAAAAGAAAATAGAATATATTTTCTAATAGTGAATACAAACTCAAAATTTTTATTAATATTTATTATAGTATATTACTTAATATATTACCTATAGCAATTACTTTTCGAAATTTTAAATATTGATATTAAATTTAATTAATATGCAATTAATTAATGGCAACGATGAATATAATGTTTATTAAAAAAAAAAAAAAATTTCAGTGTCGTTGATATGTGTACTATTTAATTATTTGTAATCGTATTTTTAAAAACCTGATATATATATATACAAATTCTTGACTATTAAATTTCTCTATTATAATCGACTAAATTTGTTAAACAGAACATTCACTTTATGTACTGTTAAATTTAATTAAAGTCTATTATTTTCAATTATTTATTATTTAAACTTATTATGCTTTTGATATTTTTACAAGAAAATAGCTTTAATTCTATTATATAATATATATAGATTATATAATTTGTAAAATATTTGTTCATGTTATATTTGGCTATAAAGTATCATAATAATAACATTTCTGTTTCACATCCTTAATACATCTTTTATATAATGTTTACATAATATTGATTGCGTGTATTCTTTTGCATATCATATATGAAAATAAATATTTTAAATATTTTATCAATAGATGAGTACTAAAATTATACTATTATCTTTGCATTGATTTTGTCATTCGTCCATTTATCATAATAAAGTGAAATATTTTAAAAGAACCGTGTGCATATGACTGCATTCAATAACACTGTGCGTAGTTATTTATTATTTTTAAACAAAGAGTAGTAACATTTATCGAATTTATAATGCTTAATTATATAAACAGTTTTACAAAATCATTTTTTATTAACTAATATTATTCAAGAATTGCCTACAAATTATTATCAAATATGAAGGACCGTAGTTGTATGTATGAACGTAAAATGTGATTAAACAAAAAAGGTGATTTTTCATTTCACTATTTTTATTCAGATTTACTATTTTTTGTTGTTGGTGTTGTATATTTACTAAATATACAGGAATAACTTTGAATACGAAAACATTAAATACATCTTTTATATAGATTGTAATAAACAAGTTACGTATAAATTTATTTAGTAAAACGCATGAATTTTGTCTAAGCTATCCGGTTATAATGTTCGTGCGATGATTTAATAAGGCTTATTTAGAATTTTAAATAATTATTAGAAATATATTTGTTGTAATTTAATAGAACCTGCGTATATAAAATAAAAAATCAACGTAAAATTATTGTAGCGTAGAAAAAAATTATAATGATGATTATTAATAAAAATAAAAAAAAAAAAAAAAGAAAACTTTTTTTTTAAAAACTATATATTGGAATAAAATATGACTTATATTTTTAAATATAATTATTAAAAATCTTATTTTAAAATAGTGGATGATTTGTAACGTCGCATTCATTATCTGGAAGCCGTTGACAAGTTGGTGTGGGTGGCACTTCACAAACACATCTCACGCATACGGAACTATAGTCGGTTGCTTGGTTCAACTCATCTCCGATTTCCATTGTCAGATTACCAAATTTACACATTTTGTTGCCTGAAAAATCAATTTTTAAGATAAATGATGTACATGAAACGGAAGATTTTTACCTTTAATTTTGTTGAAATATCTTAATTATATTAAACAAATTATCAATTATATTATTTTGATATATTTGGAATACATTTGACTGATATTGGCTGATAATATATATATATATATATATATATATATATATATAGGAAACAATAGAATTTTAATAAATTATATGTACATCGTATTTATAAAATATAACGTATATATAGAATTTACTTCTTACTAGACAGTTTTTCAGATGTTAATTCCTCAGACACATTATTTGATGATATTTTCGTAATCCGATGAATTACAGTGTCGTTATAATTCTCTGAAATAGTGTAATTTTATAATATTATATTTATTTCAATGTAAATATTAATTGGAAACTTTTAGTATGCTTACGACATCTGTACCCATAAGTGCAACTGGTTTGCGGTATTTGACTATGATAAAATACAGGAGCGCAATTCTCTCGAATTTCTAAGGTTCGAAGCAGTTCCGTTCCACATGATATATGTTCACAAAATGGTGCAACGTATTCTCCTGTAACATTTAATTAAATTATGTTATTTTATACCGCTTTCGTGTAGTTTATAATATAGGAACATTTTATAACAAAAATATTTCAACATTTAATTACAGTAATAAATTGATGAAATAAAAAAAAAAAATGAAAATAACAATATAGCATAAAGTCTTTAAACTTTTTTCTGAATACGTTACATTATGATTATTTATTGTTATCAATAAACGTTTTCACTTTTTAAATTTTTCATTAAATACACGCCTTTATATCCTTTCGAGCATTGGCACACCAATTCAGGTTTTTCGCTTGGGTAAAAAGGTTCTCCATCTAAATAAGTTCGTCCGTCAATTTCACATTTTGTTCTTTCTTCCGAAATTTCAGCTGAAAAAAAAATTATCACAAATTTATAATAATGAATATTTCATTACTAATATAAGGCATTAATAGGCAGTTGACTGTGTATTACGACATATTTGTTCTCCATCGCAACAAGTGCCTGGTTTTCGTTTAAAATAACACCCTTCTTTTATCCTCATGATAGAACAATCAATTGCTGCACAAGTAAATGTTGCCCTTAAAAATATTAATTAAAAGCTCAAATGAAGATAAATTGTAAAGACATTGTGTAAATATGGTATATAAGGAATTTGTAATTGGTATTCAAAGTATGCAATTAAATTGTTGAATTAATTAAAATTAAATGACAATTCTCTATACATAATACCATGACTAATGAATTTATGGTTTTGAAATTTTAGTTTTTATTTTATAAAGCCGGTTCATAATTCGCAAAATTTTATTCAGTTCTAATGTTTATTGTATTACGTATAAATATAGAAATTTATTAGTTCACGTTATTACTATTTGTTATGTTATTATTTTATTTTATCTGTGTTATTATGTCTATTCACATTATTGTGAGACAGTTATTAAACTTTAAATTTATTAGACATAATTTTAGATAAATTACTATTAAACGTAGTATAATAATACTATTTTAATGAATAAGTTCAATGTAAAATATTTCGTACAATAAAAACATAATTATTACTATTTTTCTAAATTCGGTCTGTCAATTGTAAAGTATTTTTGTCGGAGGAAAAGAATATCGGTGACATAAATTACAAATTTTATTTCGTACTATGTTAAAAATCAATTTTCTCTAATTTTTAAGAAAAAATTATTTTATTATCCGCTTAGGTTTAATCGATAACGAGTCATTCCTTTTCACATTAAATAAAAATATCTATAAATTCATCATGCCAATACTCACACATCTTTAAATCCTTTCACACAGTTACAATCTATATCGCAGGGATTATTACGATCTTCATCTTTCAGTTTATCTCCAATATTGTATACGTGTCCATTTACATAACAATTATACGGCGATCTTTCACTTAAATGTGAACAATTATAACTAACAGCACAGCAATCACTAGGTTTTTTATAAATCGGTTCACAACGCAGTTCATGGTAGTGTTGTATAGGTCCTTTACACTTTTTAGGATCACATTCTAAAAGATATATAATAAGATATCAAATATTAATCAGCTATATGGCATTATCTATATATATATATATATATATATATATATATATAATATAGTTTCAAATATTAAAATAATTAATTTCATTGTATTTATTACATGTATATTTATTTAGTTAATTCATATTTATTTCACGTAAATTAATCATTTATTTTATAAAGAATGTATATATAAGTAATTGACACTGTAATAATTTGAATTTTGAAAAATACATTATTCATGCATTTAAATAAATTACACTTATTATTTAATAAAAATATATTAAAAATTTATTTATATATACTTATGTTTATAGGAAAATGCTACTTTAAATACAATATTTCTAAAACTTTGACTAGATTACTAAAGAGTTTATGCTTCACAAAAACTTTTAATGAGATTTAAATATTAAATTAATAATTGTTTAATCTTCAAAGTATTTATTTCAATTTATATCAAATAATTATAAATTATTTTTATTAATGTGGATGTTCATGTAGTATAATAGTTATTTATAATTTCAAATCATCTATAATCAGCATTAATGCTTCCAGTTTACACAGTTAACAAGTTTTATATAATAATGTTGTCCTGGTGAGGAAACAAAAACAAATTATTTCTAATAATACTCTTTAATTGCTTATGATGCGTTTCCTAACTCACGATAACATTAAGTTTTAAATAGATGAACTAATAAGGAAAGAGATATCAAATCTACTTTTACAGATTATTTATTAATTGTAATGTTTATTGTATTGTCCATTTTACATTCTAATATGTATATTGGAATAAACTATAAATTTGTGAAAAATTATTTACCGATTGATGAAGCAGCAGTGGCCATGAACATCAGCCATAGATTCAAACATAAGTAGAGGAAGTTACCGAAGGCAGATTTTCCATAGTTAACCGTTCTACTCATGATTCAAAAGTTACTTTGCATGTCTTCAGCACAGTGCGCGTCTCTTATATAAAGATCTTCCATGTATTAGCTGACACGAGAATACATATTTACTTTGCACAGCAAACTCTTTTAAAGCCTTTATAGTCATTTTTGTACAGTCATATATATATATACATACATATATATATATATATATATATATATAAATTTCACTAATAATGTGTGTGTGTGTGTGTGTGTGTGTGTGTTTAATTTAAAAGTATAAATTAACAAAATTTCTTGCATATTATACTCTAGGAACGATTAGTGAAATTCAAAGAAAATACACAAATCAATATTTTTTTAACTTTTGACAAAATTATACTTTTATAATAAGATTTTATTTTTATAATAAATACGCTTCTTTACGAAGCTTTCTAATTTAGCTGATGATAATCTTTATATAATTTAATTCACTATTTCTGTAATTATTTCATTAACAACCCCAATTGTATTGCATACAATATAAGCTATAGCATAAACACAACAGTTTTGTTTAATTTAATTAAGGAAACAATGATTAATTTTACTTATTATAAAATATGTACGTAACAACTAATAATGATTAGCATGAGTTAACTAATAAATATTTATCTAATAAAGATTTATTTATAACTTTGTAATCCATAGTTGTTAATTATTATAGACTAATGGAGAAGAAATTTCACTCAAAAGCATCGGATATTAAAAGAGCAATTTCACAATAGCATTATATATAAAAACGAGCATTAAACATTGAAGGAATTGCCTCTTCGTTTATTATTCATTCAGCAATCAATGACGTGACGGACATATGAAAGTGAATAGTAACCCTGTAAGTATTTACATTCAAGACATAATGTAGATATTTGAACGAATATGCTTTATTATTGATCTATCGAGAGGATTTAAGGAAATTTAACGAATAATTGTTTATACATAAACAGAATATAAATGAAATTATTTATTTATGTTTTAATGAGTATCTGTGATAAATATCTATGATAAATTATATAAAAACTAGTTTATTATTAATGCATTCGTAATTTTATTGACTATTAAATTTATTCCTTACATAATTATGACAAAATGTTAAAATGTAAACGAATTATGCATTTATCGGAAGCAGCATATTCTACGCTTTAAAAGCAAAAGCATTTCTTCCACTTGAATTTTTAATTTGATTTTTTTATATTTAAAACATTGGCTTTAGTATAATATTAAATTACACTTAATATTATTGCTTAATAATTTATTGGAAAATTTATTTTATTTAAATTTTGAAAATATTTTATATGAATGTATTTGTACAGACAAAGGACTCAGTTGAAAATCTGAAAAAATAATTTCATTTTGAAAAGAAATAAAAAAATATACTACACATGACGGAAATACATTGGGAAATTATTGAAACTATTTTATACAAATGACATGAAGCATAAATTTACAAATTGTTTTTTTAATATTTTGCAAGAGTTGTACAAATATCTAATTATTTCAGTACAATTTTCTAATGGAAGAAATTCTAATAAAAGACGTTTTATGTTAAATTTTAAAGTAGGTATATACTTTAATTTCTTTAGTATGTGTAACATTTCAAAAGTACAAAGTTACAAAATTTGTTTTTCGCAAAAACTTCTGTATACCAGTTAATATGAAAATACATAAATGAAGTGTAAATTTAATAAATGAACGGTACAACCGATAATGCATAGTAAATATCAATTAATTATAGTTAATTATTGTATCAAAATTAATATTCAACGTATATTTAATTAATATTAATATCAATAAAAAAATTAAGTTAAATAATAAAAATATTATACGTATAATATATATATATAAATTCTAAAAAGTTTTTAATTTGACTTATATTAATAAGAATATTAATAAGAAAGCCCATTTATAAAAATATTTCGTTTATATCACTTGTGTGAAAGGTTTTGTAAGTCTCTAACAAGAGAAATAAAAAAAAAATACACAGATTGATAAATACTAACAAAGAATTGCAGATAAAGTAGTATGCAGATTTTTTTAATGCCTTGACGTAAAATATATTTGTTGTATTAACTGTACGGAATATTTTGAAATATCTTATTTAAAAATTTTATTTCAAAAATATACTTTATACTTAATAAAAATAACAATGATGATTCATTATAATATTCAAATGATATTTTTCAGAAATGAATTAAAAAAATTGATAAGTAAAATTTTAATAATGCTCAAAATTTATTTATATTAACGAATATACGAAAACTCGAGAATATAATTAAAACTTCGTGTTGCATTCATTTTTTGAAAGTCGTTGACAAGTCGGTGCGGGTGGTACTTCGCAAACACATCTCACGCATATGGAACTATAGTCGGTTGCTTGGTTCAACTCATCTCCGATTTGCATTAATATATCACCAAATACACACACAAATTCACCTAAAACTTGATATTTACATCATCAATAGAGATACTTTATAAGTGTTTAAATTACAGAAAGGCAGTGTTAGTATTTAGCGAGGTATGATATATTTTTAACGAAATTAATCTTTCTTCAAAAAAAAAGTTAATGAAATATTCTATTACTTATTGATATAATAAATATTATGAGTTTTTTTTTTCATTTTCAATACCTTATAAAAATAATAGAATTGTATTAAGAAATTAAACTTACTTAAATCGGAAATATCTTGTAGTAGCGAGTACCTCAATACGCGATCATTTTCGTTTTCTGAATAAGATTTTTATACATCTCAATATTAAATGACAATTAAAAGAAAGGGAAATTTATAATTGATTCATCCTTTACTTACGACATCTGTAATTGATGGGACAGCTAGTTTGCACCCATTGATAGTCAGAATATATGGGCGCACAATTTTTCCGAATTTCCGCGGAGTATCGGAGTTCCGTTCCACATTTTATATTCCTACAATATTCATGTACACTTTTTCCTGTAATGTGTGTATTTATACGTTTTCTTTCCAATAACATTAATATAATATAAATATAGCAAGACCTTCTCTCATTATAATTCATTCGATGAATATATTATTATAAAATTATACAATTTCTTTTTTATAAATGAAGGACTTCACAATGCCAGTGAGCTAATGAGAATTCGATCTTATGAAAAATACTTGGACATCAGTAAGTATACAATAATAATATTAATTAATATTTTTTCATACATATTATTGCTTATAATTTACATTAATTAAGGGCTAAACAATAAACGTATTCTAGCTCATTCAACAAATATACGATTAATGAATATTATATATTCCAACCTTACGTGATTTTAATACTCTGGAATATCCTGCTGAGATTAATTCCATGAAATATTATTACTGTATAATATGTCTATTTTATAATATATTTGAAAAATATTATTAAAACTATACTGTTTAAAAAGAGATCTTTAACATTTGCAACGTTTAAAATAATATTTTTCATAAATGCACAAGGATATTGTAAAATTATGTTAAAATATAATTAAGATTAAAACACACACACACACACACACACACACACACACACACATACATATATATATATATATTTATTTATTTAGTTATAGACATATATTTACATATGTCTTAATAATAAACGGGTAAGGTAATAATAAAAATAAAAATAACTAATCGAATGTTTACCCATAGTTATCATCTTGAATATGTTTATCAGTATTGAAATTTGCGCGAATAAAAACTTGTACAACTACAGATTATATTAGCGTATGATAAATTAAGTTGCAATAAAAAATAAAAAAAAAAGTATAATAAAATAAAATAAAATATTCGTTTACCATAAATATTAGTTTATATAATTAATGTAATTAAATGTTTGTAAGATGTAAATCGATTACGTACGTAAGTAACCTTCCATGCATGTACAAACTAAATAAGGATTATCACTTGGATAGAATTCCTGTCCATCTGTATAAACTTGTCCATCAACTTCACACGTAACAATATCATCGTTTCGTTCGACTAGTACATTGAATTTCATTCGAAAATAATAAATGATCCATTATTTTATATAATAGAACAAAATTATATATTTATCATTACTTACCACATATTATCTCCCCATCGCAACATGTATTTGGCTTTGGCTTAAAGTAACATCCGTTTCTTACGTTTGCAATTAAGCAGTCCGTATTCGTACACATAAATTTTGCTCTGAAAGATTAGAAAAATCATATGTAGGGATAGGAAATAAATATTAAATAGCCATTCGTATATGTGGACAAGTTAAAAACAATTATTCGTATGTTTTCCAAGTTACGTGGTCGAGACTAAGGAGTAATCTTATCAGAATTATAATTAAATTTGAGAATCTACGGAATAAAGTAGCAATAATAATAATTGCCAGTTGAAATTGAGAACGATCATATTTCGGATATTGTTGTAATGTATATAGTTATGACAATTGCAATATTCTGTACGTTCTGTCGAGCATATTTTTATTTCAAAATTGATCGAATTATTTTTAATAAGTAAACCACACATAATTTGCAATTTAAATGAAAATACGAATTTTATTAAAATTTTAACGTGTCCTTTTAAATTATTTTCTTATATTATCTTAATTACGTTGAAAATATTGTAAAAATGTTACTTCTATTACGCCTCGATAGCATTACAGACAATTTTTCGACTTATCTCGCATAAAAACGCATATAATTTAATGGTCGCAAGTGTGTAGCTCCGAGTACTCACATGTTATTATCTGAAAATTCACAGATGCAATCTTGATCGCAAGGACTGGAGCGATCGTAAGCCTCTAATTTCTCTCCAATTCTATATTCGTTATTATTTGCGTAACATTTAAAGGGCGATCTTTCATTTAAATGAGAACAATCATATCCAATAGCACAGCAAGTATCTAATTCATTGTATATCGGCTTGCAATTTAAATCTTTGTAGAACATTATCGGTCCATTACAGTTTCTTGGATCACATTCTTAAACATATAATTAACCACAAAATCTATTACAAGTATATCAAGTACAAATCAACGAAGATAATAAGAAATAAATTCGAGTCACATTGTTTAGTTTCATGTCAATTGCCATAAATTAGGTAGAATAAGGTTTAAATTTTAAAAGCCTTTGGTTAATGAAAAATTTCCATTTAAAAAAAAAAAAAAAAAAAATTTATTTAATTAAATTATTGCCCTAAATGAAAAGCGCTCGTATAATTATTTTCTTTGTTTTATTATTCGTTTAAAAATTCTCAATTATATAATAATTAAATAACATTTATATTCTAATATAAAATATAATCATTTTCATATTAATTCGTTAATTCGCTTAATACAATTGAATTGAATTACATGGATAACATGGATAAGCTTAAAACCTTAATATCGGCGCTTTTTTAAAATTAAATTATTCAATGAATAATTGTGGATTAATGCGATTTATAAAATATATATTTGTTTTGTTTCGCACAAATTTTAACAAAATTATATGTATTATCACATGTGAATTTATAATTATTTTTACTTAGCTGATTAGTTTAATAGGCAGTTAATTAAAATTTATTTTCAAAAGTTGGATGTTTTTTAATAAATTGGCTTAATAAGATTATATAGTAAAAATTATGTACATTTAACATAAAAAATATAGTGTCGATTCTCTTTGAAAATTTAACTTTTTTTTTTTATTATAAGATAGGAAATGTTTTCAAAAGTATATACTTAAATTTTTTTAAATAAACATTGAGAGTATTTCAAAAGGATCAAATGGCTGTCCATTATAATGATCAACTACTTCTCGCAGTAGCTGTGGTATTACATATATATATATTTATATATATATATATATATATATTTCTTTGTTTCGCTTAAACCACTTTCTGATGGCCATGAAAATGATTTACCTTGCGCTGAAATGATTCTGAGAAATGCAAAAAAGAGGCACAAATAAAGATACAAGAAGCCATGGATGGCTGATTTCTCAATGTAAAACGTTCCTGTCATGATCAATGTAAATAATACTTTGAATTCGTGTAGCATACAACACTGCTTATATATATAGGCCTACGGAGTTATTAGGTATATGAGAAAGAAGGGGTCATACCTACGATTAAGGTAATAAATTTGGTGCTATATTGTACCAAGAAGGTTCTCTAAGTACTCCGATTCGCTAGTGCAAAAGTCATTAATTCCGTTTCTAATTTCTGTTAAATTTCTTTTTATATTTAACTAAATAGTTACATTTCAAAGATATACGTGCTACTCCTTAAATGTGAAAATAAATGTTTGTATTATTATGTGCTTATCTAATCCAAACTAACGGCTTACGATATAGCAATCGAATTTCGAAATAAAACTTTTGTGTATAGTTTGATGCTTTTCTTTCAGATTTATTGAGATCTAATTCTATTTAGCTACATAATTATAATTTTTGCTGTTTTCATTATTTTTTCTTTTTTTTTTTTTTTTTTTTTTTTTTTTTTTTTTTTATATTTGTCAATATTATATATTATTACTATTATCCAGCAAAAAAGTTAAAACACTATTTTCAGATAACTATTTCACTACTTCCTGTTATACAAGAGGATTGTATTTATCGCGAATAGTTATAAAGCTAATCTAAGAAAATAAAATATTGATATTTTGATTTTAAATTATTTACTTTTATAATCTTTATCCTTAAATTTTATGATATATCAATTTTTATATATAATGTAGTTACAAAATGTATAAATTTAAATTATTAATTAAAATATTTTTTATGAGTCGTTTATTTGTAAGGTATTATAAAAAAAGATTAATACGTCATGGTATTACGTTATTTCAAAATGTTCTATGCCTTGTTTCATCTACTTAATAATCTATTGTGATTATTTTCAGATTTTTTGTTCGCGCGATCGTCGAATTTCCTTACTGTTCATTTTGTCTAAATATTTCGTATTTTGAAAGATGTAAATTATTTTTTATATCTTATTATAATAGATTAAAAACTATTGAATTATATTATTTTCAAGTTAAATGTATTCCGTAAATATTAGCATACAAGTTCGCGTTTCTAATTGTAAAATGTCCTTTGAAATTTTGATAACTGATTATAAACATATAAAAATCCAATGAATTAAAATACGTTGATACGTTTTATTATATCAAGACTATATTTGACATATATAGAGTATCATAAATATCCTTAATCTTTTTAGGAAAATGTATAGATATTCTAATAATAATATGCGTGATTAAAGTTAAGTTTGATTAAGTTTGATTAAATATATTTATACATATATGCAATTAAAAGTTTTTGCATGGCTTTGTTAGAAAATAATACAAATTATTAATTAACAAAAGATTAATGTGAACTTATTTGATAGATATTATACATATTTTAATCGTATAGACATACAAGAATTTTTAATATTACTTAAAAAAAAATTTTTTTTAATTTATAAAATAAACGATAAAAGTGAGAACCCAATAAGTATTCATAGTTATTAATTAATTAACTCATAAATAAATAGATCAAACAAATATGTGCATGCATACAGACACATTTAACTATACACTCATTACATTATAATCAGTTTAAACAAAAGAATTGCAAATTATATGGTTTATTCAATATATTGCATAAGAATATAGATTTACGAAGTTTGTATAATTGAAAATAAATTTTATATATTTTAATAAATATTAATTAATGATTGATGTATATAGGAAAAATTATTATTAAACATATATATATATATATATATATATATATATTGTCATAAAAGATTTATTCAACTATTAATTATATTTTATACATCATTCAATATTAAATATATATTAAACATGTAATAATTATTTATTTATATATTATATAATAATTTGGTCCTTGTGTTACATGTTAAAAATATTTTTTTCGATATGATTAATCAATTGGAGTTCTAATTTTTTGGCGAAAATTTAGCATTGCATTGTTTTGGTGTAAGTCGTTGGCAAGTAAGCGTAGGTGGCACTTCGCATTTACATTTCACGCACTTCGAAGTGAAGTCATTTGATTGATTTAATTCTTCTCCAATTCGTAGCTTCATTTTGCCAAACTCGCAAATCATTTCATCTAAAAATAAGGTTTCACGTATTTAATTATTAAAACTCATAGTTACTGATTATAATTCATTGTTAAATATTATTAAAGTATATTATTATCTATAATAATATTTTAATAAATAATTGTAGTAAAAATTGAAAAATTTATGACGTTATTTCTCTTAGGAATGTTGTAAATTTATAAATTTTTATCGGCGTTTGAAAATAATAGCCGTCATTATATGTATATACGTGAAATTTGTATAGAAAATAAATTATTCAAAGAATATTTCTTTTGTCATAAATGCTCATATTTATATAGTAGAATATATTTAAGAATAAATGTTCGAAGAGACAATTTTTACTTATATTGAATATTTGATTCTACTCATATTAATGTAATTATAATTGAAAATAATTCTCACTGCTTTCATCTGCATTAGTATTAACTTGGTTAATTATGGTATCGGTATCCTTTTCTGCAATAGAAGAATAGATAAAAAAAAAAACAAAAACAAAAAAAAAATAAAAATTAATAATTCATTAACTAGTATGGTTTATAATTATTTTTCCTTTTTTTTTCATATTGAATGTACATACGACAGCGGAATTGACTGGTACAGCTATAAACTGTCGACGCATCACTCAAATATAAAGGAGCACATTTGTTATAAATATTTACGGGGTAATGTTCTTCAATTCCACACGTTGTTTTTTTACAATATGGAAAGACATTGTTACCTGTAATAATTATAGTTAATTATTTGAAATTCAATAAACAAAGTGTACGTGCATTTATCAATTATAATATAAATTGAATGTGAATAGTAAGAAAAAGTTAACAAAATATATTTATAATAAATATAATTTATTATTTTAGCGTTGTAATTACTGGCAAATTAATCTATGCCTTTTATATTCTCATAATACAATCTACCTGCATAACCATTCAAACACTGGCATATTAATTTGTTCTCCGATTTAGGATAAAATATCTCTCCGTCCGTGTACGTTTTTCCCTCGACTATGCACTTTGGTATATCTTCTGGATTTTCAGCTAGAGCAGTGCATTATTTTAATAGAAAATTATTGTTAAAAAGTAAGTTTAGCAACTATTATTCGCATACGACACTTACGACACACTTGTTCTGCATCACAGCAACGGTCAAATTTTCGTTTAAAGTAACATCCTGCTTGAGGTCGTGAGAAGAAGCAGTCTATAACCGAACACGTAAACTTTGCTCTAAATAATAGAAACGCATTCTATTAGCGAGAATTCTTAAATTATATTGTCTTGAAAATATTATTTAAACGATGCGTTGAATATCGGAAACTTAAAATGCCAGCCAATGTTAGATAATATGTTAAATGTAAACGATAATCTTTATTTCAATTACTCGGATTATTAGCCATCTAATAAGGTGTTTGTATTTCCTTATAAGTCACAATGCTTTGCGAAGGCGCGCTTCGTTAAAAAAAAAAAAATTGCAAAATATGATAATAATATTGTGGTAAACAGAAAGTGTACATAAAAATTGAATTATCTAAGAATATTTTACGAATTGAAAAATCTTAAAATGATGTCTAATATACTTACACTTTTTTGTCATTTTTGTTACAAAAACATCCAATCGAACAAAGATTCAAGCGATCCGTTTGATTAAGTGCGGCTCCGATAGGGTATTCGTTGCCATTTGCATAACATTTGTCGGATGATCTTTTATATAAATGAGAGCAATCGTATCTAACAGCACAACAGTCGCCATCATTTTCATAAATTGGCATACAATTTAAATCTTCATAAAATTTTACTGGTCCAAGACATTTTGTTTTATCGCATTCTAAAATAATTTGTTTACAATATTAAATTAACAAAACTAATAAATATGAATATATATTATATTAAAAAACTATAAAAATATTAGTAAAAAAGTAGTATATCAGTAATTAATCTATAATTAATAGGAAGAGAAATGAAATTAACACGAATGAATTTTACTTTCATATTAGCTTAAATTTAATAATAAAATTATATTGGATAATTAAGATTAGTACTTATTCGCTCTTAAATTTTTAATAAAAGTTCATAGAAATTCTAAATAAATAATTGTACATTCATATATTACTTTGTATTACTTTCTTATTAAATATAATAAATTAAAAAGAAATTCAAGTAAAAAGTATATATATATATATATATATATATATATATATATATATATAAACTGTATCAAAATATTCACATTATTATTATTATATATTTATTGTTATATGGTATATTTATGGTTTACCGGTTGCTGAAACAATAATGAGTAGTTGCGACAACAAAAATATACTAAAATTAATTTTTTTATCACTGTATACTTCACTCATGTTTATCCTACAAACTCTTTGCATTCGTTGAAAATTGCGAATGTCTTTTATTAAGGAAAATGAAAATTTATTCCACGCGTATATTGGAGAGATAAATAAAAGTATAATAATAGTTAAATGACCTTCGGATGTATGATAAAATCATATCCAACTATGCATCATGAAATTATATCCAATTGTCGAATATTCAGTATAGGTTATTTAAAATATTAAATAATAATAAATTTTAATATTTCATATTCTATAATTCTTTTAAATGATTTTTTTTTGAAGAATTGTAAAAATTACATCTTTAAAAGAAAAAGAAAAATTAATGAATTAGCAATATTGCAATTGAATCAGCATACGTACAGTTTTATTCTACAATCCTGTAAAATAAGCCTACAATATAGAAATAAAATAGAAAAATATCTAATATAAAAATTGTAATCACAAATATAAGTTAAATTTATAAATGTTATAAAATAAGTATGCGGTAATTTCTACTTAATTGTTTATTCTAAATTTAATGCGAGAACTTATTTGTTCGTTAAATGAAGGTTTTTTTTTATAATATATTTTCAATATATTTTCAATATATTTTCAATATATTTTCAATATATTTTCAATATATTTTCAATATATTTTCATTAATGTATATTTAAAAATAACTGTTTGTTTTTTTCTTGTGTTTTATTATTTTCATATGAAACTGTATGCATATTTTTAATATAAATTAAATCAATTTTATAACTATTAATAATGTTTAATAACCTTACTATTCTATTATCTTCACTGTTTTATTTATTTCTTCGTTTTATTATTATATTAGACAATCGAATCATTGAATAAAATATTAATTTATATAGTAAATAAAACCTAATTACAATTAGCTTCGTAGGAGTTTCAAAAATGTTATTATTGCACTCCATGTTATTTCATATCATATTGAATAAATAAACGTACAAGTTATTTATAAATATTGCTGTGAAAATAATATATGATACAAATTTAATTAAATCAATGTTAACAAATATATAGCTATTTATATTAATTCAATGTAGTTATTTTTATGAATTTAATGTAATGTTATTTTATAAAAAGCAAAATTTGTTTTTAAAATGATGGTATACTAATAAAGATCGATATATAGAATTTATATTTATTTGCCATATTTTTTAAGTTAATAATTAATGTATAAAATTATAGTCTGTCATATTGAGGTATTTTAAAAAGTAATAAAGTTTTCGTTTACATAAGAAATTTTTTCGTTGAAAATAGAGTATTAGTGGAAAATTTTGTTTTTCTTCTCATGTAGGTCTGGAATAATTTATGATCTGGAAATATCGTTTTACCTGTAGTTATATTAGTTGTTAATTTACATGTTCGTTTTTAGTTTAATTACTATAATTACAACAAAAAAAAAAAAAAAAAAAAAAAAAAAAAAGAAATAGAAAAAGTATAACTTAGGTAGAATAATTTATTTAGTTTAAAAAAAAACAACAAAAAAACCCTTAAAATACTTAAAATTTTTCACATATTGCAATATTTGTATTATTAGCGACGTTGCATATATATATATATATATATATATATATATATTAGATTTGCTTTGAATAGTTAAAATTTAATATTTAAAATACATGTATGTATACGTTCAAATTATCTTTATTGTTTTTAATATAATAAGAAATATAAAATATATATAGCTTATATTTTATTATATGGCAACGTTATTACATAGATCATTTTAGTAATCTTTTGATGAATTGCGAATATTACATTACATATATTAATGCTTTAATTTTTTATTAAATTAAAATTTATTTAATTGTAAATTTATAAAGATGGAGATATGCTTTCTACATAAGTTTATATAAATTATTCCATATTAATGTGTTCATTTTGAAAGTAAAACATCATTTATTTGTCGAAAAATTTACATATCATTACTTACATTCATTACATTCATACAGTCATTACTAATTATAAATTCAAAAGTATAAGCTATTAGGATTCCAAGTATTTAATTTATCAATACTGTTGAATTAGTTTAATCAATAACGAAGCAAACTTTTTTTTATTATTTTAGTCGACTAGTAATTGTGATTAGTAAATTATTAGAATGAACAAACGTTTGTTACATGATGCTATCTGTGTTTTACGCTTAATTGTACATTCGTACTGCAATTAATCTATAAACTTTTAAATTTCTTTAGATACGTATAATATCACATTGTTTTATAAATTAGAAAATTACGTTGATGTGAATGTTGAGTTTTATATGATTTTTTAAATTAATGTTCTTATCAACTATACAAATGCTTATGTTAGAAAGTTTTTAATTATTAAAATTATTATCTTTATTCAATAAATTCAATCTTTATGCATCGTTTTATATATAAATATATATATATTTTTTTTTTAATAGATTAGGTTAATGAAAAGATCTAATACGAACATATTTATTATTTCATACTCTTTTAAGCATCGACAATCAACTTCGTATCGTTAGAATTAATTTGATTAAATTTGATATTAAATGTATATTTTTGTCAAGAAGTAGTTTTTATTACTTTGTAAAATATTAATATTATTATTAAACAAAAATATAAAAAAGGAGAGCAAACATGCGATTTAAAAAGTGTTACATACATATTAAATGTAATAAGTAATTATAAACAATTATTAATATTTATTTTTATTTAATATTTTATACTACCACTTTTTATTAGCAGTTAGATTATTGAAGCTCAGGATGTTAATAAAACAAATTCTATTATTACTATGAATGTATAATTTCATAATTATAACGTGAATTTTTAAATGTTAAATGTTGCAATAAAATATTATTTCGGTTGAATTGAATTGAATTCAGATGAATTATGTTATGTTTTATATTCAAATTAAAAGTATTTTCCTATTAGGCATCAAATATAAAAATTAAAATTACTTTTACGCGATAATAATTTGGAAATGTAATTTTGTAAATGAATTCCTGAAACGAATTTATTAATAATGTTTTATGAGTATAGAATGTATCATTATATTGATTCTGCATATAACATTATAAACAAGACAGAATAATGTATTGTTCGGTTAAAATATTTTATTTCTTGCATTAACGTCGTAAATATAGTTCTGAAATACAATTGTAAAAAGGTCATATATATTAATTAATATAATTATTAAATATAAATTTTTTCTAAAATTACATTGTATATTTAATAAGTGCATACATTATGTATATTCAGTTATTGTTACAGCAATAATAATAATTAACGACAATAATAATTAAACAATAATAATAATGAACAAGAAACAATAATTATTTTTATATTATACAATATGAATCATTATATATTAATTTTTTATTCTTATTTATATTTGTTATTTCGATCATTTTTAAGCCAAGTTTGATTAAGTTTAAAAATACAATAGTTCAAGTATAATATATAATACCAATAATAGGAAAAATTGTAAATTTTACATTTCCTCGTATTCAAAGCAAGAGAGTTTAAACTAATCTTTTCTAACTAAAAATGTTAATGGAATAATTTTACGTTGAAAAACTCTTTTAAAAGGATGGATTTTAAAATTCTATATTATACTTTTGTATTGATTTAGTTGGTTAAATTTAAATAAATTCAACAATTCTCCTCTGCACATTTTAACAATGATTTAACTATGATATATCATTTACAAAGAGCATATACCGAATATGGAGCTCATTTAATCTTCTTAAATTATCATTTGGGCAATACTGTAAATATGCAAAACCTATATTAAGTCTGAGAACAGATATAAGTATATACAAATCGTAAAAAGTATAATTATTTTGTGAAGCATTGAATTATTAATTAATATTATTTCGTTGTTTTATTTATAAAATATTAATTGCTCACATCTATTTTCATGGACTGTTTAATTGAAAAATATCCCTTATCTTTCAAGTAAGCTAATAATGATTTTAAACTTTCTATTTTATCACTCATTCGCTTTACTTTTTTATTTAAAACTTTACGTTTTCTCTTGGAATTATTAAAATAATTTGCAACTTATAGCTAATTTTATAGCTTAAATCAGAAGTAAAATTCTCTCTCTTTAAGTCTCCTATGTAACGGGGAGTGCAACTATGTATATCCTTTACCGTGGTTTCAGACTTATCAGTTTTTCTGAAAGTTAGAGTATGTATTATTTAAAGTATACATTATTGAAAATTAATTCAATATGTTAATTATAATCATTAATGTATTATGCTAACTTATTACCTGCTTAATTTAGAAGTTGCAAAAATAATATTACTATCTACATTTTCTACACATTCATCCTCGTCGCATACAGTAGAATTTGAGCCATTCAATTTATAGTCTTTGGTATATTCGAAAGAATTAGAAGCGTTTATACTCGTTAATAAGTTATTGACCATCTGCAAATTTAATTCTGTACTTGTCGAACAATTAATGATATCTATATTTTCTATTCTACCAATCAAATGATTAGTATTCATTGACTTGGGTAATTCACTAATATGATCTAAATTTGATGAATTATCAGTGTTTAATTCCGATAAATCTAAATCCCTTTCTATAATAGTAACACTAGAAAATGGAATATATTTTAATATTTGTCCACTATTTGTACCATATAAATTCTATTTATACTTGAAGAGAAAACTATACCTATCAGAATGAACGCACGAGGATGATGGAACAGCTGTAGGTAACAAAAGACTTCTCACATCGTTACCAACCACTTTATAACGAAAATCTTTTTCTAGAAAATGTCTGCTAAATACTGCGCTATGTCTTTTAACTCGATGGTTTATGACTGAAATCCATTTGGCCCTTATTTCTTCTTTTCGTGGAATACTAAACATGTAAAATTGAAAATTCTATAATGTAAATTATATTAATTTTTTTTTATCTAATTTTGTGACAATTTCTGATAGAAAAAGAGGAAGATCGAATTTCTAATAGAATAATATGTAGTATGTACTTATGTAGATAAAGCGGTTAAAATGAAATGTTTGCAGCAGACTTTTGGCAAATAAATCACATTACAATGTAGTAGCGTCGTATTAATTTTTAACTTACTTATGAAAAGAAACGTTGTCAATAATTCAGTATTGAAGTTGGCAAATACAACATATCCTTACCATTTTGATAAACTATATTATCTCCCAAGTATAAATCTAAAAAAAAATTTCCAATTAAAATTTCATATGCTACGATGTGATCTAATATTTTAATACAATTCATGTGGATACTTTCGTTCTTACTTTTTACGTTACTTCTGCACGTAAATACATTTTGTATTTCTCAAGAAATATGACAGCGACTCGAGCGTCGTAAAGTTACGTACATAAACACAACACAACCAGCTGCTTTGCTCTCCTGTTTTCCCCTTCCAGCTTCAACTTTGGAAAGAAAGTGTATGACCATGACCGAATATCTGCTGCTTTCTCTTTATTTAGTAAATTCTCTTTTATTTTCAGTTCCATTCGCAAAATGCGGCCTATTTCACTTTACTATTTTTACGATTGTACGTAAATTTCAGAGGCAACAGTATTAAAAAAATAATCGATGGAGCATGAACTATAAGCGGTAAGTACTAGCATTCCGGCAATCTAAATAATAATAATGCGTTTGCATTAGGTACTATGATATTACAAGAAATTTTAAATAATACGAATAAAAATAAATTTAAATTATGAAAAATAAAAATTTTAAATGTATACGAAACTAGATAAAAAAATATTAATGTATATATATATATATATATATATATATTATGTATGAAAAATTAAAGTTCTATTATATATGATAAGCCGAATACGTATAGTTATTCGTACAGAATTAATTAAACGTAATTATAATGCATTGCGAATGAAAACATTTTAGTTTTTAAATTCATTTTCCATTGGTTAAAAACTGCTTTTTTTTCTTTTCATATATTCATTTATCACGGATAACTGAATTACACGGATTACAACAATGCTAATCTAAATATTTTTAGAAGCATTTTTACCTTATTTTAATACGTGATTAAATTTTACTTAAATTCTCATTAAATTCTTACTTAATATATATAGATCATTAAAGTAATTATAACATTGTCAAACAAAATATTGTTTTTCTACACATTCAGCCTACAATATTTTAATTTAATAAATGTAATATTGTTTCTATGAAGTTTGCAAAAGTTTTCTGATATTCTGATTGAATATTTTTATAATTATAAGGACCGAAGTATTGAAAGTCGAACGATATTTATAAACATAATATATATTCATTATAAATACCTATACATGCGCACGTTACATTTATGTGATAATTTCAGAGTTTAACATCATTTCACATAATTAATTTAATTGCGTAAAGTACATTAGATATTATGCAATTTTCGCTACGCTATACAGTACTTTTGAACAAATGAATATTTGATTCTTTATAGGGAACATTTTATTTTTATTTTTATTTTATGTTTTTTTTTTCTTTTTTCCTTTTAATCACTGTGACTGTAAGATTCAATTAAAAAAACCTGATTAAATTACTCTAAATATCGTAGTTTTGTTATGTAATTCAAGCTTTTATGGTCAAACCTGGTGTAGTGCAGAATTCCTAAACTTTCACATTTATGTTCAATTATCAGACAAAAAAGACTCTGTCCTAATACATTTAATGAAACAAAAAGCAAACCGAAATACAATCGTACTGTGTAAGCATGTTTATTTAGTTATAAATATATAAATATTTTATAGTTTTTCTTAATGTTCGATTAATAATGGATATTTTCTAATTATTTTTCAATTTGTTGTAATAAATGTATTAAAACATTAATAAATTATCATTTACAAAGACATGTCAGAATTTTAAATTGTTCTCTTTTCACAATAATTATTAACAAATATTCAAATTTACCGCTACATAAGTACTCTGATAATTACAACCCTTCACTTTTTTTTTTTTTGGCTAATTAGCATATGCTGTTGAGATTACGTAATACTGTCGATTGTAGCGACATCTTTTGAGAATGAATTTCTAGGATCTGAAGTTAATGAGACTGTGTGCTTATGTATTTATGCGTGTGTGAGTGTGTGTATTTATGAATATGAACCTAAGAATTTCTCTATCTGTCTCGTTCGTAATTTATATCTCTTACTTTCTGATTCAGTCACCAACCTTCACGCGATGATTGAAGAAATGTGGGATAAGTAAATGAAAATAAAGCAATTTTGACGGTAAATATGAGTTAATTATCATTAAAATACAAGTTAAATTTAACTTTAATATGTTATTTTTTAATACTTTTTTTTCATTGGACTTAGAATATAAACTAATAATTAGAGATCAAGTGTATCATGATATTATAATTTGTTAAAAAATTAAATTTTCTTAAACTTATTAAATACTTCTATTTCAATTTTATTCTATTTATTTAAAGTAATTATAAAAATAACATTCATTTCTTATTAGACGAGTTAATAATATAATTTTGTAATTACAAAATAGTTCTATATATATCAACATGCATGCATACATACACATATGCATACATACATGCATGCATATATATATATATATATATATATATATATATATATGTTTATAAACTTTTAATATTGTTTATTCTCTTATTGTTATTCAAGTCTTCTCTACAATCATAATGGAGCAACAAAATCTTTTCCATGTTGGATCTAGAAAAAGTGAATTGGCTTTAATTCAAACTAAATATGTTATAAAATGTCTCAAGGAACATAACATTAATAACAGTTTTAAGATAATAACAATGAATACAAAAGGTGATAAGATATTGGATGTTCCATTACCAAAAATAGGTGAAAAATCTTTGTTTACAGAAGAATTGGAAAGTGCACTAGAAAATAATCGGGTCGATTTTTTAGTTCATTCGTTAAAAGACTTACCAACGACATTACGCGAAGGTTTAGCTATTGGTGCAATTATGAAGCGCGAAGACCCTCGTGACGCAGTTGTAATGTCTAAAGCATATAGTACATTCACTCTAGACACTTTGCCACCCGGTAGTGTTATTGGAACAAGTTCACTCCGCAGATCAGCATACCTTGCCAGAAATATGGGTCACTTAAAAGTAGAAACTATAAGAGGAAATTTAAATACAAGATTTAAAAAACTGGACGACGAAAATAGTAAATATGCTGGTATTATATTAGCAGTAGCAGGTTTAAAACGAATAGGACTGGAAAATCGAATAAGTCAATATTTAGAACCAGAAGAAACTCTGTACGCGGTTGGACAAGGTGCTTTGGCAATTGAGTGTCGAGAGTCAGATTCAAGGATTTTATCTTTGTTACAACCACTAAATGATTTGCTTACAACTTTGAGATGTGTGTCAGAACGATCATTTTTAAAGTATTTAGGTGGTGGATGCTCAGCACCAGTTGGAGTTGCTACTATATTAGATAATAAAGAATTATGTATAACAGGTGCTGTTTTATCACTAGATGGAAAAACATTAATCAAAGATACTTTAAAATGTATATTATATATACCTAATGACGATGGAGAACCGCCAAAAAAGTGCCCTTATAGAGAACCAAGAACTTTTTGTGGTGTTGTATCAGGAAATATAAGTTCCATCAGTTTATACGCTGCTGAAAAATTAGGCAAAGATATTGCTGAAAGTTTAATTAAAAGAAATGCTTTGGAAGTTATGTTAGAAGCCAGAAATGAAATTCTGAGTACGGTTTAGTGTTTTATAAATACGGGATTAATATTGTACATAAAACAAATATCATTATTATGTATAAATTATAGCATTAAAAAGGTTTACGGTTGAATTTTGTTATATTTGTAGTTACTGTATGATAAGTTATGACAATTTATTGATATTGAAAATGAATTTAAATTTTAATAAATTTCTATAAAATAATTGTTTTTCACTTATCCTTGAAACAAAAATTTTCTTAATACAATTATGCACGTAGAAAAACTATGCACACAATATCTCATTACCGTATATCGAGTATTAATTTTATATCGTTTGAAAGGGTTTTTCCTTATTTAAGAAAATAAAGAAATAATATTTGAAAAAAAATTTCAACATTTTTGACGAATACGTCCTCGATTACACGACTTTATGTATTCCTAAACTTTCTTAATAATAATAAATTATTTTCAACTTGCTCATTCGATTGGTAAATGTAATTTCCTTAATCGAATTATTGCTAATGAACGATTAATTGCATATCTTATATATTATAAAATAATGTTATAATTCATTTAAAAATTATTTATATAATGATTTTAATCGCGTATTTGCTCTATAATAAGCTCAATAATAATCAATTACCTATGATTAAAATGAATGAATATTTCGTTACGTAATAAAGTCATCTGAACTGATTAATTAGCTAATGGATATAAATTAATTACTCGATTACCAATATCTATTGAAAGTATAAATTTTTGCATATTAAATATGCTTTCGACAATTCAAATATCATTGACTGTTATTTGAAATATTTAATGTAAAAAATGAATTTTTAAACATTAAGTCATATAGTCCTAACATCAATCCATTAATAGGTATAGATTTTAATAAGATAATCATAATAATAATTTTGCTTAAAAAAATTGAACGATTTATTTTTAAATTCGCTATTAAAGTGCACATGTGCAATTATATATTTGTGTAATACATTTGTTCTACACAAAATATATTTGTTGTACATATGCGATATGTGAAATGGATTTCATTTTCAAAATAATTTTGATTCATTCAATCATTTTTATAGTATGCATTGAGTATATTTATGCAAAATTTTGTTTAGATGGTAAATATAAATTTATTATTTAATATTTTTTGTGTGTGTGTGTATGTGTGTGTGTGTGTGTGTGATATAATATGCGAGAGTAATGAAATATTTGCTTCACAGATATATCATCGTAAGAAAAGTCGATGAAACTATAATATGAAATAATTTATTAAATCGCAGTAATTATTTATTATGTATCTAATAACGAAAGTTTTTTTTGCTATACAGAGAGTAAATTGCAATCAAGCTCCGGTCGTGAGAATTCAGTTAATTAACTTAAACAAAATAAAAAAAAAAAAACCCAAAATTCCAATCTAGTATTCATTTAAAAATGTTATTGTATTGTTAAATATGCATATTAGAAATTCAATGATTCATGAAGTATTAACAGGTGGATAGTTTTAGCCTTCGGTCCAACTAACTCATGTAACGTTGTTATAACTAATGTAAGCACCTCTTGTTTCATATTTCATGTCGCAGTCAACAGTGTTATGCAAATCCCAAAAAGGTGACGGAGTGAAAATATGTTTGGCATAACGGTTAATTGCACGAAATATACGTTTTTGCATGAGAAATAATGGATACCGAACGGAGTATTGAAAGAATTTTGTGCGCCCTTGTAGCTAGAGTTTGTTAATTTAAATTTGATAAACTCCACGGTCATCGTTTACGATACATTTCTTCATTCATTTGCTTATTATTAGTTTTCAAATGCTATATTTTGAGTTTATCGATCAGTAACGATTGCACACGTAAAAAGAATCGCAAACAAGGACGATGTGGCAAATAATTGGCAAAAGTGTAATCCGAAAGATTTTAAAATAAAGCCTTGACCAAAGATATTGAACTCGACAAATCGTTTCACATCCGTTAAATTGTTCATATAAATCGAAAGACATCAAAGATATCATTATTTTATAATTATATGACTTATTCGACCATATTACCATGCTGATGCGCATTCTTACAAAGAATTTTATCTTTAGCTTTCAACAACCCATATCTTCATTAGAAATAAATCATTTAGCTTATTCAAATTAAAATGAAAAAAAAACAAAGAAAAAAAAAAAAAAAGAAGGAATAAGCAACTTATTTACCATTTATTACTCGTTAACTATTTAAAGAGGATTGATTTACAATTTTAATTGATGAAATTACTCGGTGTAGCATCGTTGAAAAGTATTTACATATTTTTCCTGCAAAGTGTGTATATTGTGAAAATGTCAAAAAAAGAAAAAAAAAAAAAAAAAAAAAAAAAAAAAAAAAGAAAAAGAAAAGCATATATACATATACGTTCTGAATTAACCGATGATTAAATTTATAAAAAATAATATAATGCTTATAGAGTATTTTAAGCCGAGAGAGTAATCCCTGATTTTTATTGAATTTTCGAATTTATATTGTTTTATCTATAGTACGGAAAGAGAAAATTATTTAAAATATTTCAAGCAATGAAATAAAATGTCGACAAATAATAGCATTGTATAAAACATTCAATTATAAAATTATTAATAATGACGAAGCAAATTAAAATGCACCGATTAGTAAGTTTCATTTCTAATTCATAATGAAAATTCCACATACTGTAGAATGTGTATTACCATTATGTTTTCAAATTAATAATTCTGAGAATTACATTATAAAGGCGTAAGTTAAAATGAGCGATTTAACAAAGAAATTGAAGTTTTATTGTAAATATTTTAAATGACTAAGATTTTTTTTAAGTATAGGGAAAAATTTCATTATTAGATGAAAACAAAAGAAAAAAAAAACATTAATTATTACAATTAATCAAGATTGGAAAAAAAAGTTAAAGCTAGAAAATCAATAAATATTAAATATTTTTTTTTAATAGATAAAATGTAATTATTTGCATGTTGCTAGGATTTATAGTCACATCATCACTTTTGTTTCATAATAATTTGCAATATGCAAATTTATATACAAAATTCATTTGAATATCTTTAAATTCCGCCGCACTCATATAAGATTTTCCTAATACATGAAAAAATTAAATACACATTTAAAACGATGAATACAATTATATTGCCAAACTTATAACTATTTAACATTATTATTATCAATTGTAAATCCAATGTACTTTGTTTCTATAACGATTTAGTACATAAATTCATTATCGAACAATAATAACGCAAAACACCCTATCCAAGCAGAATTTAGAGAAATACTTTGATATGTTTAAACAGAAATGTATAAAAAGGAATTATAATGAGAAATGTATATTATTGCAATGAAAAAAAAAAAAAAAAAAAAAAAACCTTAAAATAAGGAAAGAAAAGAATAATAATTCAATGTTAGGGTATGATTAAATATTTATATTCTTTAAATTTCTATGACGAATTCATTTTCAAATAGCCAATAAACTCATTCGATTTATCAAATTAATTTCTAGTAATAATAAATAGTTAAACTTTTCCCTCATTATACAAATTGTTATGAATTTAATAAAAATTTGATTGAACCGAAGTATTTATAAATCATTATTATTAATCAATTGGCATTATTAGTATCAAAGATGTATTTGCAATTAATTTAGAATTTCTAATACGTCAATCGTTTAAATGTTTTAAAACCAATTGTACAATTTACGTTATGAAATAATTTGCGATGGTGTATTTATAACAATTATTTGAATATCTTAAGTTATATAAGATATTTAAATTGAAAAGAATAATTCAGATTATCGATCGTTATAATAATAAATTTAAAAAATTCTATCTTTTATTTTGTTGTCTTGCTCGTGTCATAAGATAATCCAGTAAATGAATACACGTGACAGTTTTCATCGGAAAATATTTTAATTATTTGCCTAGTCATTATTTAATCATACTCTAAGCAACTTTTAATGAATTGAAGCATAATATATTATGTAATGAATTTACTAGTTTATAAAAAGTTGGCTAATAATTTCTGCTAATAACTAATGCATTGAATAGAATTAATTTTAAAGATATTCACACGTAACGAAGTACGCAAAGTCTCGGCAAAATTTTAGTACAACCACAGCTTAGAACGTGTAGTGGATTTTAAATAGTTTTTTTCTATTATAAAATAATATAAATTATTATATGAAATTGAAAAATAATTCCTAATAGCGTCTATTCGTTTTTTTTCTTCTTCTGTCCATTAATGAAACATCAAAATAGATAATTCTATAAAAAATCTATGGTGTACGATTTTTCAAATATTTAATTTTCTGTATATATATATATATATATATATGCACCCTTTTCTTCATACGAGCATTCACAATTTAAACATACATTTAAATATCGTCGTCGTCAATTAATCGTAAAAGCAATACTTAATTAACAGATCTTATTAACTAAAAGTACTTGTTAAAAGCCTTGAACTAAACCCAAGCCCTGGAAATCTTGAAAATTACTCGAATCGAGCGGTTACTGCATGCATTCCGTTTGGGGCAATTTTTAAATTCAGACACGAGGGCTGAAGTAGCCACCTGGTGGTCGTCCCGGAGGCTCGATATTCGTGGCATTTGTGATTTTAAAAACATCGCCAATCATGGCGAGGCAAAGTCTTAAGACTCGATAATACGAAATAGGCTATCGCTCTTTGCATTAGTTTGACCACAGGTTTCGAATTATCGGAATAAAATAAAATTGTTGCCATCCTGTGAAAGGTATGAGGCGCAGATTAATGTCACTTGACTGTTAATACCATTAAAATAATTTCAAAATAAAAGAATAATCAATCGACCGATAGTGTTGGGGCGCATTCACTGTTGTTGTTGCTGTTCACTCGAGAAGGATCCAAGAAATGGGTGACATAAAAGCATTTTTGCACCAGTGGTGCGCTAAAAATTCAACAGAACCGACCTTCGAAGTCAGACCTACTGGTAATATCAGCCATTTTCATAATACTTAATAATTATTGATCGGCCATACAATATTACCGTGAAATTGATTAAAAATATATATATCTCGCGTTTAAGCTGAACGATAGCTTAGCGAGACTAATGATAATAACTCTTGACGCAAAAACTTTTATAAAAGTTTTTTCTCTGATTGTGAGCGAAGCTTTTTGTAAAAGTTTACCGAGTTTGGTATTTAATAACGAATGCAGTAAATGACCGAAACAATGATAACAATAAATTTGGATATCCTTAAGAATGATAATTTTAGAGGCCAATAATTTATACTGATACTCATGTTGTGATATAATTTAATTGTTATATCAATGTTTTCATAGCGATCGGATTTAATATAATATGCATTTTAATTCTGGCAATTAGATAAAATTAAATAAAATTAATCTGAGAACGAAGGATTAAAATTACAAATCTTACAATGGCATTTCAATGAACCGACGTACTGATATTAAATAAAGTATTTATAATATCGTCAGACGCTTATAATATAATTAATAGATTCTTATTTTTTAGTTGTATCGATTCTTATATATTTTATTTATATGTATTCGAAATAGGCTTATATAATATTTTGACCTAATTTGAAATGTTATTTATTGCTACTGTATTTAAAATAATGTATTGCCGATTATTTTAAAAGCTACGAGCAGATTTAAATAACATTAACAAATTTTTACAAAATTCAATAATAATTTCTTGTACGCGAAGCTCATTCCCATTAAACTTTTCATGATCTTTGATAAGTGCGATAGTTATATATTAAAATGAAGTTTAAAATTTTCATTATAAGAATAAAGACTATAAATAATTATTTGGAAATACATCTTGGAGAAAACTAATTGTTTACTATAAACTATTTGTTCTAGGTCCTAAACATAGGCAGCGCTTTCTTTGCGAATTGCGTGTAAATGGCTATGATTACGTTGCCGTTGGCAATTCCACAAATAAAAAAGATTCTCAAGGAAACGCATCACGCGATTTTATTAATTATTTAGTTCGTATTGGGAAAATAAATCATAAAGATGTACCGGTTGACGCAGGTATGCCTTCACAATCAACTGGTTTGTGGAACGAACAGAGCAACGATAGCACACCAACTAAGCCAGTATTTAAAGATGGAATGGGTCCAAATGATTTTGGTCAAGCTTACAAACCATACAGCGATAGAGGCGAAAATTATACGTACATGGATAGATTGGCTGATCAAAAAAGAGTCGAAGAGGCTGAAGATCTTGATGTAAATTCAGGAATTCACGGAAATTGGACAATAGAGAATGCCAAATCTAAGCTTCATCAATTTATGCAAATTAATAAAATTAATTCAGATTATAAGTATACTCCTGTGGGGCCAGATCATACAAGGTATACAATAACTTATAATTCCATACTTTTTTTTATCAATAAAGGAGTAGTAGTGAAAGTTTTAAAATATGGATAATTATAAATTATTTCGTTATGAGACGATTTTATTAAAACAGTAAATAGTGAATCTTAATTTACGTATTTATGATACTTGTTAAAAAAAAAAATTGTGTACAAGAAAGTAGCTCAAAGTCTATATTTATTCATAAGACATTTACATTTATTATACGTCGATTCATGAAAATTATAATGCTTATCTATTTTAAACTAGTAATGCCTAACTTATTTTAAGTAAATTGTTATAATTTTTATTTATTTATGCGCAAGACCATTTTGGAGTACAGCACCAAACCAATGAACAAACACAATTGCAGTAACTTCATATTGTTATACTGCAGATTTAAAAATATCGAGGTAACCAATAAATTTACTATTGAAATTTATCAAAGAATATTCTCTTATGGTAGGTTTCAATACCAAAATTGGTACTTCTGATAATTTTGTTATGTTTGTATAACCAAAACTTTTATTGAAATGGTTCAATAATAGTTTTGGTGCTGCTCTTTGCAGATATATGATATGTGCTCCAATCTGGTCTTGGATAATTTCAAATTTGGTGAGTACCAATTTATATTTAGCATTTTTAAGCTCTTTAACACTTAGCCAAATTCTATTTAATTGCTTAATCATAGATTATGGATAAATTCTTTTTTGCTAATTTATTTTCTTTTGTTTTTTTGTTTTTTTTTTTGTCATTTTATAGGAGTTTTATGGCCGAAATGACATTCTATGTTAAGCAACTTGGACGATGTAAGAAAAATATTTTTGTTTATTCGACGTATTTAAAAAGTGGTCGCGATTAATTCGTTACTTATAAAAATGTGTAGCAATTACTGGACGTGAAACAGGATCAAATAAGCAGACGGCGTCTAAGAGTTGCGCTTTGTCACTGGTAAGACAATTATATCACTTGGGAGTCATCGAGGCATTTAGCGGAACGTTAAAAACGAAAAAAGATGGTGATCAAATGAAGCCTTATCCAGTAAGAATTTCTCCACAACTTGCAGAGGAAATAAATTCCGTTTTAGAAGGATTGCAGATTACTCCAGTTAATGTAAGTCGTGCACCGACATTATAAGTTTAGAAATTTATTACAAATTTTTAATTTAGACAGATACACTATATCACTATATCATATCATATCAACGAAAGACTTACTTTACTCTTTTTCAACAAGTCTTTCTTAATTATATAGTAAAAATTAATTACACAGTATTGAAAATTAAACTCTCCACAAAGTTACTTTGATTTCATTATTACAAATTGTCCACGATAAATAAAATTTTACGTACTAATTATCTTATTGTATCGAAAGGCAAATTATGTATATTTTATGTAAACTGTTTAGGTGTACATCAAGTCGATGATTTTAGAGAGCGGAAGCCAAGGAATTTCCCTCATAACCGATCATATTTTAGAGGATTTCATTTCATCGAAACCACAGCCAGCAGGTGTTGTAAGTTGGTCGCCACCGCAGCAGAACTGGAATCCTTGGACGTGTTGCAATATTGATGAAGGACCCTTGGCCACCATGACATTGGAACAGCTTTCGGACGACATAATGAAAGAGGCTAGAGATCGTATGCAGCAGTCAGTGGATCTTCAACAGAGTCAAAAAGCCCGATCTAAGTTGCCAGTATTCGCCAAGAAGAATGAGATTATGAACGCCATCAACGAGAGCCCAGTCATAATCATCCGCGGTAACACCGGCTGTGGTAAAACTACACAGGTCTGCCAATTTATTCTCGACGATTACATCGCCACTGGTCAGGGTGCTTACTGCTCCATTGCCGTCACTCAACCGAGAAGAATCTCAGCTGTGTCCGTTGCCGATCGTATAGCCGTGGAAAGATGCGAGGCCCTGGGTCAGAGCGTCGGCTACTCGGTGCGTTTCGAGTCTTGCTTGCCAAGACCATACGGTAGCATCATGTTTTGCACCGTTGGCGTACTGCTACGGAAATTGGGTAAGATGAGATGCTTGATATATATATATATATAAAGCTCTTTTGCGGCTAAAATTTCATAGATATCTGAAGCTTATTGTATTTGCCTTCTATCAAAACTGTCGATTCATGCAATTTTAATGCTGAATAATCATATTAAAATCGATATTCGTAATGATGATTAATTTAATCTAGAATCGAATAATTTTTGCATCCGTAGAAGGAGGCTTGAGAGGTGTATCTCACGTCATCGTCGACGAAATTCATGAGCGCGATGTGAATTCCGATTTCATTATGGTTGTACTCAGAGATATGATTCACATGTACCCCGATCTAAGGATTATACTTATGTCTGCGACGATCGATACTACTGCCTTTAGCCAGTACTTCAACAACTGTCCAGTTATTGAGATTCCTGGAAGGGCATTTCCCGTGCAACAGTATTTTCTCGAGGATTGCGTGGAATTAACTAAATTTGTTCCACTAATGGATACGAAAAAGCGTAAGAATCGCGATGTAGATGATACATCTCTGGAGGGTGAGGCCGAGGAGAATCTTAATAAATTTGTGAGCGATAACTACAGGTACATAAGATTTATTCTTATGATTTTCTTCTTTTATAAAATTAAAAGGCATTGATGATTGAATCGAGCGTGCATAGAAAATCGTGTAAATTAATGTTTCTCAAAGGGCAAGTTATTTTGATGATTTTTTTCAACCTGTAATAAAATTTCATTATTTTCATATTTACAATTCCTTATGGTTTTATTATTTAAAAAAATAAATAAATAAATAATAATATTATAACACATTTAACGCCTTATTGATGATCTAAGTGTTTTTATGGTATTAAAAACTTGACATCAAATAATAATTGATAATTAAAAATCTTGTATTGAAATTGATTTTGTGAAGCCCCCCTTTCGCCAATACTGAATTTGAAGTTTTAATTTTAAACTCCGTACGGTTTGATGCGACAATAGTTAAAGATGCATTTTGTTATTTCGTTGTGCAGTCTCCATACGAAAAATGCAATGGCACAGCTCACGGAAAAAGAAATTAGTTTCGAGGTCATCGAAAGTTTGCTGTGCTACATCAAGGAACAAAATATAAGCGGCGCCGTTTTGATTTTCCTTCCCGGCTGGAACTTGATATTCGCTCTAATGAAGCATCTCCAACAGCATCCGATTTTTGGCAGCAACGAGTACGTCATCATACCACTGCACTCGCAACTGCCACGCGAGGACCAGCGCAAGGTCTTCGATCCAGTTGCTTCTGATAAAACGAAGATAATCCTTGCTACGAATATCGCGGAAACATCCATCACCATTGACGACGTCGTTTACGTTATCGATTCCTGCAAGGCTAAGATGAAGCTCTTCACTTCGCATAACAACATGACGAATTATGCCACCGTTTGGGCAAGCAAGACGAATTTGGAACAGAGGAAGGGCCGAGCCGGTCGAGTGCGCCCTGGATTCTGTTTTCATCTCTGCTCGAGGGCCAGATTCGATAAAATGGACGAGCACATGACAGTGGAGATGTTCCGTACTCCATTGCACGAGCTTGCTCTTAGCATTAAACTACTGAGGCTGGGCAGTATCGGGCAATTTCTGTCCAAAGCCATCGAACCACCGCCCATCGACGCGGTCATTGAAGCGGAAGTCATGCTGAGAGGTGCGATTTATTATATCTATTGCCTATGTAAAGATTCTTTATTTCTTACCATTAAGCAATATACAAGCACTTGGACTCGATTAGAAAGTCATGAAATCAATTTGTTACGTAGCATCCTGAAGTTTCAATTAAAATCCAATGGTTTCAGAAATGAAGTGCCTAGACAAAAACGACGAGCTTACGCCCCTCGGTAAGATCCTCGCTCGGTTACCAATTGAACCGCGCCTTGGCAAGATGATGATACTCGGCTGTATGTTCCGGGTCGGCGACGCTCTCTCGACTATGGCGGCCAACAGTTCGACCTTTCCCGAAGTCTACAACATGGGCCCGGACGTGCGGAGGCTCTCGGCCCAACAAAAGTGGTTCGCCGGTGCACGATACAGCGATCACGTGGCTATGCTCCATGTGTTCCAGTGCTGGGAGGAGGTTAGGGGCGGTGGAGAGTACGCCGAGAATATGTTTGTCGAGTCGAAAAACTTGAGTTTGCCGACGCTGCGAGTTACTTGGGAAGCCAAGGTTATACAGTTTTGCATTAATAAATGACCTTGTTTTAATAATAATAACCAATAAAATTGTTGGGCTCGTTTGAAAAATCGCAGATGTCGCTCAACTTTAAAAGCTATTTTTACACTTTACAGTTGAACGTTTACATTGCACGTTACATAACAAAATATTAAATGCATTTTCACGTACTTTTCGATACATTTAAATAATTTCGTTAATATGGATTGATATGGTTGTTTTTAAATGTAACTTTTTTTTTCCTTCACTCTTAATTTTTTCTTTCTTTCGTTTCTTTTTTTCTCTCTCTCTTTTTTTTTTATTTGGAACAATATCAAGTATTTTCTCGTACTATTGTTTGAATAAATTGACAATTTTTGTAAAATTTTATAGTTCAATAATTTTTTGCTTATTTTAAAATTTTAAAAATATAAGCCAAATATTAGGTGAATGGATTTTTTTCATTTATTCTAATTATTTTCTTACTATAATAAAATTATTATTTTGAATTGTTGATTATGAATTAATAGCCAAAATTTCGAGGGCTAAATTGGAAAATAACGATTCTATTTTAAAACCTATATAAAAATCTTATTTTTCTTCGTCTTCTTTTTTTTTTTTTTTTTTCTTTTTGTCGTTTCAGCATCAATTACAAGCGCTGTTAACAAGTGCAGGATTTCCTGAGGAAACTCTATGTCCGATACCTTTAAATTACCAAGCTAGTGCGGATGTACGTTTAGATACAATTACGTCACTACTTTGCATGGGTCTTTATCCAAATGTGTGCTATCATAAAGAAAAGAGGAAGGTTTTAACTACGGAGTCAAAGGCCGCTCTAATTCACAAGACTTCTGTGAATTGCAGTAATTTTGAACAAAATTTTCCATTTCCCTTTTTCGTATTTGGAGAGAAGGTATGCAAACCTTATAATTAAATTCATTTCGATTACATGATGATGCAACATAATTTTTCTCACACGTTTTAATCCTTACTTTACTTACTTTATTGTTGTAGATTCGTACAAGGGCGGTATCTTGTAAGCAAATGACCATGGTATCACCGTTGCACTTGTTACTATTTGGTTCGCGTAAGGTCGAGTTTGTAGATAATTTAATTAAATTAGACAATTGGATTAATCTTGAAATGGATCCTCAGCACGCTGCGGCAATAGTCGCTTTAAGACCAGCATTAGAAAGTTTAGTGGTTAAAGCTGCCAAAGATCCAGAAACCATATTAGAACTTAGCCCCTTAGATGAAAAGGCAAGGCAATTTGAGATAAATGCAATTGAGCAGCAGTAAATATATAATATATATGATGTTATAATCAATGATAATCTTTTTTCTTTGTCACTGCAGATTTTGTCCCTCGTGAAAAACTTATGTAGCATGAACGCAGGCCGTTTCGAGATGGAGCCTATCGCTGGAGGTGGCTTTACGTCAAGGCGACCACCACGTGAGCACATGATGGGCGTAAGTCCCAATATGAGGCACATAGATGGTGGCCCAGCACCCAAGTATATGCATGTGGACAGTTTTCGCAGTAACAACTTTGGCGGATATAGAGGTGGCTACTATAGAGGCGGTGGTGGATATTACGGCAGAGGACACGGAGGATATCGTGGAAAATATTAAATGTGTTTTTAAATATAATTTTTATTAAGATATTTATCATTTATAAATGCATGAGCGAAAGCATAGTTTCTCGTTAAGTACAAAAAATCATTTTTTATTCCGTTATTGGCATGTATAAGATGTTTTAACATTTAAAAATTATTTTAATTACTTTAAGTCACATCGATGAATTATAAAAAAAAAATAGTAAACGACTGAAATTAATTTAAAAAAATTATTATTATTATAAATTTAGTAATATATATATATATATGCTATTGTTATAACAAGAATATAGAATAAATTTAAACAAAAAACAAAAACAAAAAAATTTATCAAATTTCCTAAATAATAATTATATTTCAATAGTATTTGTTTCTTTTGTTTGACATTTAACAAACAGTGATGCATTTGGAAGGTTCAATATCTCAATCTTCTCATATTCTTTAGATTTATAAATAATGCTAATTTATGAATATTATTATGCCTATTGCTTAATTCTTTCTGTTCCTACGTCTATTCACTCTCCTCTTGATATATTATGCTATTTTGTTTCTCAGACAACATTTCGTTTATTTTATTATTTTAAATAAGAGTCTAGATCATTTTTAAATAGCTTGCCATTCAATATATACGATATGTAATTTTATTAAAAAAAAAAAACATTAGTTTATCCAATATTCGTTGAAACAGTTATTAACCTAACGATTATATGCTTACTATTGCGTAATAATTATCAAAATCTACATTCTTTTCAATTCAATAATTAGTTTGAAAAAAATCTGTGTAAAGCTTTTTAAAACCGTATATCAGGGCTTAATAATTGTGTGAATTGATAAAATTGATCGATAAAATATGTCTATTTTATTTATTTTAGTCAAATTAAACGAGTGCAATTTAAAACATTTCCATTTCAAAAACTGAAATTATAAATATATTTACTTATATTTTTATTTGAAATCAGAACTTTTGTAAAAATATCGTAGAAAAAATAATCTTCGACCCATAAATCATCTTATTTCTTTATCTAAAAAGATCTAAAAGATAATAAATATATCTTTAATCGCCTCTATACATATTGTTATTTGTATAATTATGAAAATTATACTAACTATTTGCATAAATAATTAAATATAACAAATAATTTTAAACGGTTAGTTAACATAAGTTTTTTTAACATCTATTACTTTATAGTAAGCGTTAATAAATAATTATACGTACGTGTACGTAATTAAACACATTAAAGTTAATTATAAATAGTTTTATAACAGTTTTCCAATATTTATGATCGCCATCATGTAGAGGAACAGTGAAATACAACAAAATAGTTTGCAAATTAATTTTTTCAATTACATGTCCTATTTGAATAATTGAATTTGATAATTGAACAACAATATATATTAAATAATAAATGTAAAAACAAAAGTTTTTTAAGATTATATTTTTATTAATTAAAGCATTTAAATCATAATTAATTGTAATACAGATTTCAATACTAAATAGTACATTTGAACAATTATCACGTCAACAATGATAAATATAAAATAAAATAATCGTAGATAATTAATAATGATAATTATAATAGAAAAGTTAATTATATTAACCCCAATAAAAATTTATTACAAAACTGTGTAATAACGACAGGTAATTAAAAAAAGAATAGTTATTTCATAATCTTTTATAAATGTTGAATAATATTTTAATGCTTTTAATTGCTGTACGATAATTTAAATTTATAAATAAATGCGTCATCAAATAAAGGAAATAAGGATTTCGTAGTATCTCAGTGAATATGTTAATAATTATCCATTAATTGATTTGTATAATTACTTTAATACATATACCATAAATTATTTATTATTGGTTCATGGAGACCAAATTCATTTTTTTTCCCCAAACAATCGAGAACTTCTCAACTTTAGATCTAATTGCACTTATTATAAGCTGTATAATTAATTTTTACTGAGATAAAATCTGTAATATTATTACAATATAAATGTTGTAATAACTAATAATGATTTATATAGTTATGTCTTGTCAGAGATTGATTAAATATCGCCACATTTTGTTCGATTTTCAAAGTAGGTGATAAGGTTTTCTATTTCTTTATAATAATAATAATAATATTATTATAATAAAATACAGAACATAAATTAGTTAATTTTGAAGGAATACAAATAAGTCTACAAATACAAATAAGTTTCAATTCTCATAGGCAAACGTCCACAAGCACATCCAAAGCAACTTAACATTAAATATCAATAAATTATTGTTTATTTATTTAAATAATATAATTTTCCATACGTAAAATTGTTTCAAATACATCAACATATATTCTCTGATTTTTGAAGATTTCTATACTTTGTTCATTAATGTAGAATGGTCGGCAATACTATAAAACTTCGTTTACAATTGATCTAAAATCAATTATATGAGGATTATTAATTGTCAATTGGAATATTTGATAAGTAAAAGAAGGCCCAATATATTTTTTAGTTTTAGTTTAGTTCATTGCGAATAAGTACATAGACTGTGTAGTAGATTGTATCAGCTAGTTTTCTTTTTTCTTTTTAAGACTAATAAATTTTAACAGTATAAATACTTATTTACTCGAATGAAGCTGTTTTTTTTATTAAAATGTAAATTGAAAATTCAAAGTATATTGCTAGCAGACGCAAATATTATTTTAATCGATCGATGTTATTCTGTCAATAAATGACTGCTTAATAAATCATATAAATTGTATTTGTTTTCTAATGTATATGTGTCTAAGGCAATGCATTATTTATGTGTTTGTATGAAGTTATTTAATAAGTTATACAATATTGATATTAAAACAAGTGTAATGAATAATGTGGTAATAAAATGGTGTTTGAAATGAATTTGTTTAGTACTTACATTATTTTAGCTTTTATTTATAATACACGCAATTTTAATTAAACAAAAAAAAAAAAAAAAAAAAAGTTTTTTTAATAGAATAGCAGAATCTCCTAAGTATTTTAAGTATTTTGTAATTTTCTCTTCATTGCACCTGATTTAATGTAAACGATGGGAGCATGTTTTTTTTGTTTGTATTTATATTCCATAATCAATAAATTCTCACTTGACTCTTTATTATTTTATTATAAATTTTCAATTTAGCTTGGCAATAATTCATTAATTTAAAGCTATGTCTATTAAATATTTGGCGATAAAAAAAAAAAAAAAAAAATTAATAATTTTGAAGCTTAATTGTATTGCTTTATTTGCCTATAATTAGAAGATCGTAAAAAGTAAATCATTGATTTTTACATCTTTAATGATTAATATTTTTTTTTTTTTTTTTTTTTTTTTTTTTTTTTTTTTCTTTTTTTAAATTTTTGCCTCAACGAGGTGTGATTGTGATTTCACGATTGCACTTGCAATTGCACGGAATAGTCGCAGCTACATATACCATAATTTGATCACATTTATATTGGAAAAAGAAACATTTAAAATTTTGTTCTATTTTATTTATCGTGTTGTATATATTTTATGAATATTAATTAAATTCAATTGTGGAATAAGTGAAATTGTTTTTATTATATTTCACCATCTAAACGGGAATATTCATTTAACAAAATTCGGACTTACAATCTCAAAAACTTTATGCTCGAGAACCAATGGGTTTCGATTTCCTTAGCGCATGCGAAACATCGTCCCGAGCCACATTGCAGAAAATATTTTTAATATCTAATTTGTTTTAAAAGAATATATAGTAAAACGAAAGTAGGGTACGTTAAAATGTACGTAGCTCTACTTTATTTTTATCAGGATTTATAGGCAGAAGGAAATAGTACAGCTTAAAGCTATAATCATATATCATCATCTAATGAGGTTGGGCAAAATTCTTATATTTTAAATATGTATTTACTTAAGTAAAGTAGAAGTTTTCGTTATTAATCAATTTTGCTTTATTGTTTAACAGAAATATAACAAAAATATTTGATTCAACATACTCAGGCCAGTTTCGTGTACAATGATTTTCTTTTCAGTAAAATCTTCATTCAGTTGTATCATATGATTATATAAATAGCAATTCTTGTAATTAATAAATAGTAATGCTACAACACACTTTAATATTGCCTATAGCAGTGGCAAAAAGAACCTCGTTAAACTGTTCATCGGTGACAATACAACATTTATTATCGTTTAGTTCTATAATTACTCCTAATACTAATGTAGATATTTCCAAATATAAGGTAGGATATATATTTATGTAAATTCTAATATACTCATATCTTGTTTAACTATAATAAATTTAAACTTTATTTTATTTGAAGCTTTTAATGTTATATTATCTTAAATTTAAATTATGACCTTCGATATTACACGTTGTTTAGAATAAATCAACACTAATATTTAAAAATACATTATGTTTCTTAAATCAAATTTTGATATAAAATTATTTTAAAGTCATTAATAGCTAGTTTATAATGCTATATATTAATGATTGAATTATGATTAAATATTTATTTAATGTTTTTTTTTTATCTTTTTTATCAAAGTTATTAAGGATTACTCTTATACGATCTAAATACTTTTAAGCATAATGCTTTTGCATTTATAATGATTTATTTATTTCAGAATACAAGTCAAAAAGTTTCAAAAGAAGATAATACTTCAACAGCAATATCGGCTTACAAATATATAAAGGCTACTGTATTAAAAAATTTAAAAGTCGATCAAGACGATGCGATTGATCAACATGTATTTAATAATAGCAATATGCAATTTGCCGACAGAAAGAAATTTCAAAAGATTGAATTTCTTTTAAATCAATTCCAACAAGCTTTAAATAATGGAGATTTGACGATTACAGATTTACCAAAAGAAGAAAACTTCCAAATCTTAATTAATGCTATAAAAGATAGTAATAATGTAATAATAAATACGGTAATGAAAAAACTTAATATGAACAAAATTAACAATCTACTAGTTGAAGATTTAATATCAAAAGAACTAGTTCGTGCAGTTTTAAACGAGTTTGATCAAAATGACTCAATATTGGTATGAAAATTAATTTTTATATGTACTTTATTAAGAACCTTATGCATTTAATATTAATGATTTATTATTATTCATTATTTATATTATTTTATTAATAATTATGTATTTAATGTTAATTGAATTTGCAGAAATCAATGAATAGATAGGTTATACTAAATTTTGTTATTAATTTTGTTATTATTAATTTCATATAATTTTCTATAAAGTTTTAATTTACTGTTTGTTAAATATTGTGAAAATTAAATATATAAATCTTAAACTTAAAGATTTATTTGACATTCAGTAACTAAAATTAGTAATAACACAGAATAATTTTAATATTTAATAATTTTAATAATCAGTAAATTTATTACTTTAATACATAATTTTATTTAACCTTTAATAATATCTAGTTACTCATGAAATTAGCATCAGGGAGATGTAGAGCAACTCCAATACTTACAACTTTAGCTGAAAATATTACAAAATATGAAAACACGAAGCTTACTTGTAAAACATCATCAGATATTTTATACAGTATGGCTTTGCTTAGCTTTTATAATAAAGTAAGATTCAATTTTGTGGTCATTTTTTTAATTTTTACGATATTTAAATATTTTATATGTTATATTTTACAATTTTAGAACTTAATAAATTATTTAATGACTAATTTGATTGAAATTCTTCAAGCAAATAAAAATATAACAGATCTTCAAAAACTATTAAAATCTTTAAGTATATTACGAATTAGAAATGAAACTGTACTCAATCTAATGTCAGTTTGGATCTTAGAAAATCGTGAAAATATAAAATCAGATGATGTGTGCGGTTTGTTAATGACATTTGCAGTTTTAGGATATATTCCAACAAATTTTAATGATATATTTGAGGTATAGCGTATTTTAATTTACAATCCTAAATTGATTCATTTTATTAATTATATTATATATTTATACAATATTTCTAACTATTTTTTTTGTTTTAAGTGGATAAATTAAGTATTTTATTAAAACATTTCAAATAATTACATTTGAAACTGTGTAAATTTAGTTATTTTAAATTTTCATAACTATTACTATTACATAACTGTATTTTATTTGTTTTTTTAAGCTATAAGTAAATGAAATAAAATAATTTAACGTATTTTATTATATAATAGTGGTAGCAAATTAAAAAACACAATCTAATACAGAATTATTTATAGAGCACCGAACACTTTCTAAACTATAAGTGAAAAATTACTTTTTGTACAATTGTAAAGTTGAAAATGAGAATACTACTGATAAATATATTTGCTACAACTAAGAAACTATAATAAAATTACAATAAGCTTTGCAATATTTTTATTTTTTTGTGAAGTTATAGTCATTTTTTTTTTTATCCATTTTGCTCTGTTTTCTCTCTCTCTCTCTCTCTCTCTCTCTCTCTCTCTCTCTCTCTTATATATATATATATATATATATATATATATATATAGAATACAATTAAATAAAGATTGTATAAAATAACTGTACAAAATATTAAAAATACCAAAAGCTAATTAGAATATTAAATAAAATTTGCTACACTGCATAAGTTAGTGTATATAAATTTTAGTTTGAATTTACATAAAATAAATTTAAAATGTTTATTTATATTTTATCTTTGGATATATATAATAATTAACTTTTTATTTTAATAGCAACTTATAACACCTATAATACAAAGCAAATCGTTAACAACTTTTGAATTGTTGGATATGGTTTGGGCCTTAACTGTTTTGGAAAAAGCTTCAGCAGAACACGCAGAAATGATTTTAAATTATGACTTTTTAAATAATGGTCTGTTATTTTTTAGTTCATTTTTCAGATTTTGTAATTGAATATTATTTGTTATTAATGACTTTTATAGATCATTTATGTGCACAACCATCGAAAATTATAAAAATACTAAATATTAATGCAGCAGCAAGTGTTAGTATACCAAATTATACAGGTACAATTCAGTATTATATTATTAAATTTTTAAACAAATATTTCGTAATAAATAGAAACATAAAAAATCAATTATTTTCCAGGACCAATACTACCAGAAAACTCATTATTTTTTAAGCCCGATATAATTTTATCTAAAGAAAGAATTAAAATTTCAAACCCCATAATCAAGGCTTTGAAGTTACTATTGCCTGCAAATAATACATACATGAATAGTTATAATAATACAAATATGGGTTTTATAATAGGTAGTTTTATAATTTATTCAAATTTGTATATGTTTTTGTAAATTTATTCAAAATTAAATTAAAATATCTTTCTAAGTTAAATCAGCTTATAACATTGATATTAATTTCAGATGCAGAATTTTGTGTAGATAATAATTGTACACCTTTTCCTATTAATTTGACATTAAGCGAAGAAATTAATAGGGTAGCTGTTTTATCCGTCACATTTAGTGAAATGTGTTATGAACTAACTGAAGTCATGGGGAAAATTAAATTTTATTCCAAACTATTAGAAAAAAAGGGATACAAAGTATTATTACTACCATACAAAGAAGAACAATCTAAGCAACCTCTTATATCGCGAGCAAAATTCATTAACGAAAAGCTTAAACAACTATTAGAAAAATAATATTACTTAAGAAAAATACAAAATAAAATTATATAAGTAAAATGCGTCTGTGTATATATATATATGTGCATATATATCTATATATGTATATAGATTTATGTGTGTGTACATATTCAGGCAATAGAAATGAATGTTTTTTTTACAACTGTCAAAATTGTGCATTGAAATCAATTTTTATTGCTTCAAAGAATGAGTATTTCTTAAGAATTATATTAGAACATAGGTTATAAAAAATCGACTCAATATAATTTGCTAAACATGATTAGTGTAAAACACAATAAATGATCTTTTTATTTCAATTTCTCGTTTTCATTGTTATTGATTGTAAAATTTAATGGTTATTCAAATTTTCTAATAAAAATGTGAGAAAATCTGATTTTTCATTAAAATTTATTATTTTAACACTGTTCGGTAGTTCATTAAATTTGTCACCTGCCTTAGCGTATAGTTGAGTAAGGAGTTAAGTGGAAGGGCTGTAGAGATATACAGTGTGTGCATCCTTCGTTAAATATGGTTTATTGACAATTACATTATTGATGGGTTGGATTTACTTCTTATAGGAGAGTATGTCGATGCTATGTTCAATCACAAAGATACAGTTACAATGAACTGATCCTGTGATGAATAGTTCACTAATGCTAGAGGCTCGTTGTTGATGGTAACGAGCTGATCTTGTAAGGATTAGCAACGGATTATACACACTCATTGGTAAGGAGTATGCCTTATACTATTTTTACTCACGCCGCTACAGTTGCCTTGAACTGATCCTCTGATGAATAGTTTACCATCACGAGAGAAAAATAATAAAATAAATAATTAAAGTGATTTTATTATTAAAAGTTCAATATTTTTCGGTTTTATTGCCAAAAAATCGTTGTATATGAATTTTTACCATTATATCATCACCTTATTTAATAATTCAAATACTATTACATTTAAAATTAAATTATGCTTAATATAGTTCAATGAGTATAACGATAAATCTTTCGTTAATTCAATCATCTTATTGACTTGTCTTATATAATTTTGCCCTGACGAGGAGAAACAATTTAGAATTTATATTAATGTTACAAAAATATTAGGTGCCTAAGTAAATATATCCAAATATAATTTAAAGGAAAAATAAACAATATAAGGAGGATGATTTGCTGGATTTTACATTAAACTTGTCTACGACGTTCAATATTCTGATAAATTTTTTAAAAAAAAGGACGAGCTTCGACTCAAAGCATATCGAAGACCACATAATTGGATGATCATAATGATTATCAGAATTGTAATAATTGATTGTATATGATTAAGTGCAATTACAGATAATAAATACACTAGTCGATGGATTCAAATTCGACAATATTTTTAATAATTATCGGGACGCGTCAAGTATGCGTAGTCATTTTAATAAATCGTGGTACGATTAGTATGAAAATTTTGCCGCAAGAAGTGAAACTTTGAATTTTTTAGTGGCGGTTGGATTGCAGAATTCGTGTTGAGTTGAAGACTTTAAGCTCAATAACCTTTTATAAATTATGTTATTCAACGCAATTCATCTCAGTGGTTTTTTCTCTTCTTTTTTTTCTGTTATTGTAATAAAGTAATTTATAAACTCACGAATGACGCCTATGAATTCAACATTTATGATATACGAGATGATGTGGCGAGTTAAATAAAGAGTGATATAGTTATATATAATTGCGAAAAATTTTTATGCAAAATTATAAATGGAATAGTCGTGAAAAAGTTTTATCAGCTAAAATAAATGATAATTTTATTAAAAAAAAAAAAAAAAAAAAAAAAAAAAAAGAAAAAGAAAGGCATTATTTTTGGAATTAGGAAAAATGTTTCCTTTATTTTGATCTAAAGCAAACATTTTCATTATATAATTATTGTACAATTTAATCGGTAGGCAATCTAAAATATATTGAAAATATATTCTGTGCGATGCTGAAAGCTCACAGAAGTAAAAGTATTTAAGATTATATTATGCAGAGATAAGTTACGTGATCTGCCGAAATTTAAATTCCTAATTAATTGCACCGGCTGTGCAGCAAATTTGCATAATTCTATCAAGAAAGTTAGCGGTTAACCGTAGTTTTGTCATTTGGTTTTATAATATGATTAGAAATATATTAAAAAAAATCGTTTTCTATTTTTTATTGTGTATATCCTAATATTAAAACATCATTTGAAATCCAATTTTCTTAGATTTTTCAATGATGTCTATCATATTCATCCCTCTTTCTAATTCTTTCGCTGTCTCTTGTTCGTTATTTTTCATTTACAAATTACGTTCGAACGTACTTTAAGGTTATTTTTTTTTTACGTAGGCAGACAATTCCGCAATGGCTGCCTTTGCGTGACTGATGAGTAGTGCTTCGTGGCACAAATGCAATAATTTTTATTAGCTATAATATTGTCCATAACAAACAAATATAAATATATGTAAAGTAAAACTAAAAATTGAAAATGGTTAGTTTTTATCACAATTTCATCGCATTAATTGTTGTGTGACAAACTTAATTTTTATTCTGTCTGTATTTGCCTTCTAGATGCAATTTATGTTATTGTTCAGTCGTCAGGGAAAACTTCGTCTGCAAAAATGGTACGTTGCACATCCAGACAAACTTAAAAAGAAGATTACGCGAGAATTAATTACAACAATTTTGGCCAGAAAACCAAAAATGTCAAGTTTTTTAGAGTGGAAAGATGTCAAGGTTGTTTATAAAAGGTACTTTGTTATGATAATTGTTATATATATATATATATATATATTTTTTTTTTTTTATCAAATTTAGAGGAATTAATAAATTAACCGTTTGTTTAATAGATATGCCAGTTTGTACTTTTGTTGTGCGATTGAACAGAATGACAATGAACTGTTAACGCTTGAAATAATTCACAGATATGTCGAGTTATTAGACAAATATTTTGGCAGTGTAAGTTAATAAATACCCACTTAAGCATATCTAGAAACTAATGATTCTAATATTTATATTAAGATATAATAAAAATATATTTTTGATATATAAAGGCAGTGATGTTTATTTTTATCACCAACAGGTTTGTGAACTAGATATAATTTTCAACTTTGAAAAGGCTTACTTTATACTAGATGAATTACTGGTTGGTGGTGAAATTCAAGAAACCAGCAAGAAGAATGTTCTCAAAGCTATTGCAGCGCAGGATCTTTTGCAGGAGGTTAGTCACGGAGATGTTCCCATTGAGTTGTGATCTGTTTTTTTATTTTTTTTTTAATGTCATTTATATGTTGACTCCCTTCCTAGTTACAGAGATCATTTTGGCTTTACATTATTAAGTATTAATTTTTTAATAACTATTTGTGAATTAATATTCAAATCCTTAATTATTACATATAGCGCAGAAAATTAATATTTCAAATTTAATATACCACGTTACAAATATTTTTCATTTGCATTATAAGAAATGCATATATTTGCCAAAATGGTCGATAAATTTCATTCTGCCCTTGGTTATTTATGTTTATCGTAAATCTAACATAAACTTGTGTGAAATATATAATTTGCAATATTGAAATTGCATGGCGAGAATTCTCGCATAACAGATAGTACAATTGAAACGTGTCAATTTCAAAACATTAATATGAATTATTTTTTTGTGTGAGTGTTAATGTGTGTTATTATTTGTTGGTACAGCATGCATAATATATGAAAATATATGTATTAATATAATTACTTAATACAGTAAATTAAAACTGCCGATTAATAAGGTAAATGTCCAAATAATTTATTATAATGTATTGTGTTTTTATTTGATAAAAAAAATTTTTGTGAAAAATTATTGTACTTTAGTAACAATAAAGTATTTTTATATTAGAGTAGGGCATTTACCTTATAATAGTAAATATAGAATATTTTAAATAACTGTTTTCTATTGACGCTATTCTAACAAAATTTTTTGGTACCTAGTGTAATATTTATAAGTAAATGATGTCGATTAGCTATGTTATTAAAAGTATATTGTTAATCATGCCTGATAATATTTTGTTATGCATCAATTGGTTTACTTACTTAATTTTATGAATGAATGAATCGATTATTTCACATCGATCATTAATTCAATTTAAGATTGAGTAATTACTTGTTTTAAACATTATAGAAATCAATTCAAAAGAAGCAACAACAAAAATTACATGTATTAATACATATACACATATACTTATGTATCTAGTATAAGTTTATATATAAAAGCAATGAACAATTGATCCATAACATTAACATTCATAAGCCAGGTTCAAAATTTGTGATTGTTGTTGCGTCCTTTCAAAGTTTATTATTAGCCAAGCTTTTTTATTTATACTTTAGACAAAGTTGTATCTACATTTATAGCAGCATTTCCATTAAAAGCAGCTATGTGTAATATGTATACTTAAATCAGAAATACGAATTTATTATTTTAGTATGTATTAGTATAATTAGTAATCTTTTATCTTAGATATATTTTTGCATTGGGAAACAGATATTGAAGTAAAAATTATATATTTTTTTCTCCAATATAATCATGAAATTAGGCGTTTTATTAATTAATAAAAAGTTTATATATGAAAAATTATAGCTTTTTTTTTTGTTTTTGTTTTTTTGTTTTATATCTTTTATTGAAGGTTACAAAATTTTAACATTTAATGCTACATGATTATATACTTATTATAAAGTAAAATTAAATTAATAATTACAGTAATTTATTAGAAGTAATTCAATACTTGTTACTTGATTTCAATTATATTTGATCCAACAGTATTCTTTTTATGTTTTTATTTTAAATGCTTTCAATTCTACAATGTCTGTTGCCTATTTATTTAATTACCTAGTTTTTAAATATCAAGTATTTTGTAGATCAAGTAGTTTTTCTAGTCGAATTGCAAATTATTAATGTTTTCGGGCTGTGCCATTTCGCGGCGCAATGTAAAAGCTTTTTCTAAAGAAAATGAAAAAAATTAGCATGTAAAAAAATTGTGTAGATATTTATTTGTGTCGGATGTGGAAGTGCTGCTAGATTATTGAATTATGTAAATGTACATTCTTGAAAATTTAATAAACTGCCATTTTACCCAGTTTGACCAGAGCTTCACATAAGACTTCACATTTATATATCAATGCTATGTATGAGCAATTTTGCTTAGTAGAATTCGCGTGCAATAATGCATTGTGTTGTTTTACATTTGCTCTTTTTTCAATGTCTATTAGAATTTTTTTTTTTTAATTATGTGTCTGAATCACAATGTTAGATAAAATTGAATAGATGCAAAATAATAATGAAATTAATGTAAAGCCATTTTTACTCTAAGTATGTATATTTTTTATATATCGATATAATACAATTCGTTAAAAAAAAATTATTTACATAAATTACAAGTGAACAATAAATATTTATATCAATCAAACTGGAATATTAACAATATTCCAATTGAAAAAGCTTAAACAATAAGTTTAAGTAAAAAAAAAAAAGTTTTAATTCTTCCTCGATTGAAAGAACGATAATTAATTACAATATTGGAGTATGCGAGAGTCGGGAAATTTTTGAATCTTGATATAAAAATGACGTTCATTTCTTTCAACTGCTTCAGTTGTATAAGTAATCATATATTCTCTGAAAAATACCATTTCGAAGTTTCAACCACACCTACCTTTAGTTACTAAATGTATTTGTTATATCAATAAAATTCTACAGAATTTGAAGTTGAAATATCGTTAACAGAAGTTTTACCTAATAATAAGGGACGATTGTCTAATAAATATTAAAAAGCAGTAAAAGCATATTGCACAAAAAAATCCATTTGTAATAAAATTATATGGTAAAGAGTTGGAGATGTGTATATAAACGCTGCATTGGTCGTTGCATTTGCTCACTTTAGTGATGAAAAATGTATTCGTATAAATATTCCCAACAACTGTTTTATGAAGAATTTATAGAATTCTATTCATCGATTACTTTTAAAATGAAAAAAAAAAAAAAATCCTGTTGTTTTGTCAAGACGTTCCTTAAACGTTTCCTTAAACGTTTATTGGCCTTTCGTATATTATTGTAGCAAAAATTTACGAATTATTGTTTCTTTTATTTTCGATCGATCCACCCACCCTATTCATCAGATTTGTTCTTCAATGATTTTTTTTTTTTTGCTCCCAACACTAAAGGTAGAAATTAACATTAAATTAAGTTTATAAGCACAGTAGTATACGTCAACTAGTATGCGTTGTATACATTGTAAAGAAAAATAAATAGCTTAAATAGATCTTACCACATATGTAAATTGAGCAGGAAGAAAATGTCATTTCAATATCAAGGCTCAAAATTTTTTAATATTACATGCATTGAGTTATGCCTTTAATAAATGAAGAAGCCATCATTAAATACAATAAAAAGCTACTTAATTATTGTTCATATTACAATTAATTCAGTTATATATTTATATAAATAAGATTCTTATATTATAATATATTGTTTTATTTTTAATAAGTCTGAATTGTGAGCTTTTGGAAGGATAAGAAAGAAACCTATAATAATTTTTTTAACGAATAAAATAATACGACTAACTAAAAAATAATAGTTTTTGGATAAAAAATATTATTCTATTATAATATATGACAAAGCACCTATTCATTTTTATGTGATTTTTCAATAATATTCATACTCTAGGGCTGCCGAACATTTGCATATCCGGATATTCAAGTCTCAAATCTATTCGAATACAAAGTTTGACTATAAATTATGAGGATATTCGAATCTGTTCATCGTTAAATCCCATTATTTTTATTATTATTCAGAAAGAATATTTAAATTAATAAATTTCAGTATACCATCTTGGCGAGTCGCAGATATTTATAATCTAGCTAATCGATATTAACGATTGAGTATACAACGATATATATTTATTTTCTTAATAAAATTAATTTTGTTGAAAATCAATACTTAATTAAAAGTTTTTATTAAATAAGTAATGGATAAAAAGTAGTTAGAGTAGGAGGGGTAGCGCTCTTTTTTGTTTATGTAAACAGAGTAATGATAGTCTGAGCAACAAACGTCGATTTAAAGCTTCGTATTTTAATTATTAATCACCAAAAAAAAAAGTAATAATCAAAGGTTGGATAGAAATATTCAGTAATTAAAATATGTTTTTCATGTAACAATTACTGTTTATTCAAGAGTTATTCAAGTTTTAAACATTAACTCAATATTTAAATTACGAATTATTAATGGAAATAAATCGAAAACTGAATTGAAAGGAATATTCGTAGAAATTTGTATGTTTTGTAGTGGTAGATTTGTTATGTTGAAGTTAGACATTCTGATTAAGTTAATTGCCCGTAAATATTTGTAGATATCTTTATCTGTATTTTATTTTTCAAAATTTAAATTTAAATACTTTAATGTAAACGTATTTTACTACTAGTTAATTTATTTAATAATTTATTAAAATAATGTAATAATAAATAGTTCATAACTTTAATCCATAAATATTCAAAATCATTTGAATTAGCTATATGAAAGAGATTTTATATAATAAATCAATAATATTTAAAATTATAATAATGCATTTTTTTATATTCAGAACAGAAAAATATTACATTATTACAGAAGAATAAATTTTTTCTAATGATGCTTAGCTACACAAACGTATGGATAATTTATTAAGCGAATTATAACAGCTTCCACCCTTTCTTTAACTACTTTCATTACTTTTTTTTATAAGTTTCTATAATGATTTGCGCAACTAAAGGAATAAACATATCACTTAAAGCGCAAATTTAAATCTGATAATGCCAATTAAATCTAGAATTCAAATTTCAAATACAAGTAGTAGATTTGCGTCAATTGAGCGGGCTTTTACTTTATTATTATGTTTGTATGTATTTTTAAACAAATTTGGATATCCTAGTCGCATTATACTAGAAGGATGTATTGATTTAATGTAATAAATCTGAAAATCTAGAGTATAGTTTTTATATTCTATATTGATAATTTTATTTAATTTTTTTATTTTACTATTTTTTCAATTTCACACTTTATATTTTATAGAAACATAAAACTGATCCTATGAATATACCAAAACATGTAATTCAAAACTTATTATTTTCAATTTTTATCTTAGTTCGTAACATCAATGATCTTAAATTTGCGTTCAATCCTCAGTTAATTTTTAATCCATTCGGATTTTTGTATTCAATGTGCTATTTATAAAAATGCTTTTCAATGAACCGAAAAATGAATAACAGCAAGAATCTTGAATAATTTTATCGAATATCCGGATATACGCAAAGTCGAATGCTCTTATTCAATATGTTCATCGATGATAAAGAAAGAGTATTTGTTTCTGGAAAGGACGAAGCCGTTGAAGGTGCGCTACGAGAGATAGGGCTTTTGTAGACTTGTCAAATTGACGAAGTGCAAACTAAATAAAACGAGAAAAAGAGATAGATGATAGTAAAAGAGAGATCGAAAGATAGAGGGGGGAGGGGGAGAGAGAGAGAGAGAGCGAGAGGGCGAATGAATGATTGAGTAAAAGAGGGAGGGAGAGAGAGAGAGAGAGAGAGAGAGAGAGAGAGATTGAGGGGAGGGATAAGAAAATGGATAAATAAGAATGGAGAGCATTACAAGTTCAATGGATGGATATCTGCAGTATGCGCTTCCCAGCCAAAGAATCCTCACTGACGTCTTCGTCGTCAGCTCTATGTGATTTGCGTCCCATTACGAGTCCACTCCTCTCTTCCTTCGTTCAGGAATTCGACTTCTTTATATTTACCATATTATAATATTAAGCATCGACGGATACATAACGTAACACTAACACTTGTAGCATTTAATATTTACGTTATCTTCATTGAGAAAAATAATTCAGTCATATAGTCGAACGAAAGGGATAGCATCGCTTCGACGTTGACAAGATAAATCTAACATATCTTTACCGAATTACAAGAATCTTCGCACGAATATATCACGTACGAAATTATAGAAAACAATACAATTTAAAAAAGAAATTGACATACAATAGAAATAAATTAATAAACGCATTTAGATTAAAATTCTATATAAAAATAATGGCCAAATAAAATTTGGATTTAATAAAAAAATTCAGATTTGTCAGTTGATTTTCTGAGTAATTCTATATTATGACTTAGCGATTATAAATTATATTTTATACTCGCTATACGAGTTATAAGCACTATTAGACGCAGCGAGATTTATTAATATTTCATTATGAATTTTCGCTTTCCATCGAAGAAAAGTTCCTGATTTCGTTTAAGCGTATTGAATATTGAAAACTTTTATTCATTTTTAGAGCTTAGCGAATTATTTTTCTGAGTGCTGATGACATAGGAATCCATACGATTAATCGACTTTATATGAATTATTTATTTGCAAGTTTGATGTGTCTCGTATGCCGTTGCATTTGCCATTTTTTTTTTATTTTATAAGTTTTCATTCAACAATTAATATAATTTTTTCAAATAAGTAATTTTTAAATTGTCTATTGAAACGACACTATTATGAAAGAATTTTATAGATAAGCTAACACTGTGCTATATAATACGTAAACAAGATTTTATTTTATTCCTTATAATATCAAGAGTATAATTAATGAGTGTAATAATTAATTGCTCGTTAATTTTATGTGATTAATTTAAAGAGAATGATTTATTAACAAAGATTCTAAAAAATTGTAATTTATATCGTGTAAGTGCCATAAGAATCTTTGTTAAACATATTTTATCATGTACTTCTTTCTACGTGAAGTTTTAGTTATTTTAAAGCACTATTATTTATATTATTTCTTATAATTAAACAACAATAAAGTCTAAATAACGAGAAAATTACATATGCTTATGAAAAATAAAAATAAATTTTAATTGAACATATGATTATTGTTTTACAAATATTTTTTATATTGTCACAATTATTTACAAAGGTAAAATTTTGTTTAATTTAAAGCAATTATTTCGTTAAACTTAGTTCAATAAACAATAATAGTATTTTCTCTAAATAACCATTTATTACATTGATAAAGAAATACATGTATCGAGGAATGTTTCTTATAATTTACTTTGTTATTATAGTTTTACGTAACTTATATTCTTTATATATTCGATAAAAAAAAAAAAAAAAAAAAAAAAAAAAAAAAAAAAAAAAAAAAAAAAAAAAAAAAACCCTAATTCAAACGATGATTTTAATGATAATGACATGAATTTGTAATTTTATAGCAAATTATTCTTAGTCTTTTTAAACGAAAATACGTAAACTATAGAATAAATGATAAAATCAATACAATTAGGGCAGATATATTTAATTATTAATTTTATATGTAAAGAATATATTAGAAAATTTTACATGCGTAGATAAAAAGTGAAATTGATGTTCATTTAATTTACATCACAATTGTCAATAATTCATGAATAATTTATTTAATTGATAAATAATGTATATTTTTTCCTATACAAACTTTATTTTTAATTTTATTATTGAAGAGATTTTCTTTTTTAATTCTGACAACAGTGTTTTTATTTAGTTAAAAATAAAACTATTCAAGTGGTAAATATAAATAAGTATGGAAAATGTTTTTCTAAGAATGAACAATATCTGACTCATCGACTTGCCATATTTTTGTATAAAAGTACATTCTATGTGTATACGTATGCATTTGTATTTATGTACGAATTTCTACATCTATTAACATTTGTAAGAATTATATATTGTAAAAATATGAAGAATAAATTATTAATCGAGAGCGAATAATAAGTCAAAATAATATATTTTGTTAACGTAGAAATAATGAATATTTTAGTCTATAAGATTTTATTGTAGCTCTATTTTAAATGCGAAGCAAAGAATCATATTCTTCGTAAAATAAAAAGAAGTTCGATTCTTAACCTAAAAGTCAAATATATTGTAATTCGCAACAATAAAGCCATCTAATTTTTAAGAAAATTAATAATATTAACACTCCATAGTAATCAATGTCAATTGTTAATGTGAATGCATCCACGTATGCATACTTGGAATCAATAAATAATAAAGAACAATTAATAAAGCAATTTTTTAAAGTAAAAGCGAAATTGAAATTTATAATCACTGTCACATTTATTTATCACCTATTTATTTATATCACGAATGAATATATATAAGAAATATTTATTATCCATATTAGAGGTAAATAATTGGATATAAGATTTTCCCTGCCTCGAGATAATTATTCATTCAATCATTCATTCATCTTTATACAATCATGTTTTATTTGTTTTGATAACGTGTATTTACTTTGTATTTAAATTAAAATTAACTGTCCGTAAGTAATCGAGTTATCGTTATGAAATAATAATAATTTATTATTAAAAAAGGAAAGAATGACATTAACTTATTATTGTATTAAATTATGAATATAAATTGCCTCGTAATCATCCAGTGCCATTACCAATGTTTAGATTTTGCAACGACTGATAACACATCGGTTTTGATTGTTTTTATTAATGCATATATTTCGTTAAATAATAATAATATATATATATATATATATATATATATATATATATATATATATATATATATATATATATATATATATATATATACATATATACATATTTAGGTGTGTATGCGCGTGTGTGCACGTTTGTTTGTCGCGCGTGTCTAATTAAAATAAAAAATCGATGAAAAAGCAAAAGCCTTTGTGTCGTATGAAAAGGGTTCAGTTCATCATTTGTAGCTGCATCGAGAAGACTAATATGCATTGTCTGAAAAAAAAAAAAAAAAAAAAACGTAGGTACCTATTTGTTATACTATATAAAATAATATCGTTTTAAGCTGTACATAGTTAACAAATGTTTTGTAATCGATGTTAGTGCAGCATCAAAGCAATTGATCCCTGTTCGTATTGCTACACTTGGAAAATGTTCATTTCATTAAAAGTGATCTACAAATTTAAAACAATTTTCATTTTGATTATTTCTTTAATACAAAGTTTCTTTTTTCTCTCTTTCTTTCTTTTCTTTATTATTAATTCTTGTTTTATTATTAATTATTACTCTTTTTATCACATATTGTTTACTCACCTAAAGGAACATATTTATATATCTGAATTATAAGGTAGTCTTTTAAATTAAAGATTTTTCTGAAGTAAACTAAAGATTTGCAAATTGTGTTATTGTTTCAGGAGGAAACGCCGCAAGGATTCTTTGAAGATCATGGGCTTGGATAAATAAAAAAATTCCATTTTAAACTACTTACCTTCGTTCTGAGATCGCCCTTTTTATAAACTGTCTAACTATTGGGAATCATGAACGGAGACCAGAAATTCATAACTTCATATATTTGCAATTTAGCATCGATACTCAAACTCGATCGACACTCACTCCATTAAATTTTAAAAGAAAGTTTTATTGTTTGTTATTCCACTTACATTTCTAAATGTAATAATATTTTTAATGAAACATTCTTATTAGCATTAATTCTAATGGAATATATTAACAAAGTGAGAAGCCATTCATGAATTATGAAATTTTTTAAATAAGTGGCTGGATTTTTTCTATCAAAATATTTAAGAATATACTTCGAGTTAAGTCAGCTTTTCCTATCAAATCTAAAATGATTGAAGGTAAACTTCGTAGATTATATAACAAATGTTATTGATAGTTTTTTTTTTTTTTTTTTTTTTTTTTTTTTTTTTTTTTTTTTTTTATAAGAAAATAATACATTATTATATATAGGAAAATGTTGATAAGTTGTTGAGTAAATTCGAAATAATATAAATACCTAATATTATCTTTAATACGTGTTCTCCTTATTTTTACTTTTTTTTACCTTTTTTTTTGTTGCTAAATCGCAAGTTTAAAATTTCATAATTTAAATTTGGAAATGAGGAATAAGGGAAACGTAAGTGGATTAACCCGTAACATTAATGAATATCGATCTATTGTTTGTTGTGTTACATCAATACACGCCTAAGATTAATTTTAAGTTTAAAACACAGGGCTTTTGCCCACAAAAATGTTTTTGAAATATCAACAACATATATTAATGTTCTGTTCTCGACTGTATTTGATTGAGTCGTCTCATTTTCTACTTTTGAATTTGAAAAGAGCTACGTTCATTTTTACTGACTATACATCCTTTTGATAATCATATTTGTATCGCAAATGAGTAAAATTCAATTTATTGTTGGTTGTGCGTACAGTGAGTATTTCAATAATCAGATACGCACAATAGAAACATTTTTATTTATTTATAGACTTTATACATACACGCATTATCAGTTGTTGACAGAAATTATTTTTCTCGATATATACTTTTATTTTCATTCGCTTAATATGCTCTGATAGTTTTCATTTTATCACCCTTAAACTCAGCTATTATACTATTACTAATTATATGAATATATGTACTATTATTATTATAATAATTATTTTAATTGTAATTACAAACAGAGTGCTTAAGTATGTTAAATAATATTTCTAGTTTATTGTAAGCAAATAAATAGTTTTGTGGGATTTTACAGTCGTATTTTCACGATTTATAACTACAAATACTCGTTTATAATTAAATTAAAGTTATTGAAAAAAGTATTGAAATGAAAATGTGAAGATGCCAACATTATCGTTATTGTCGTTATTGGTATAAATATTATATTCTATAAAAATTAATTATCCCGTTACTATACATATACGATAGGCTATGCTTTCAGCTCCGTCCATGTAATGAAAGACCACTAAGGCAAATATTTCTATATTTCTTTAATTCCATAATTTGTAGGTTAATTAAAAATACCATTCTCATTAAAAAAAAAAAAAAAAAAAAAAAACTATTTATTAATAGGCAAACATTTACGGAGAAATTTAATTATTATTAAATAAAGATGTATTTTCAAGAAACAAAAACTATATTTTTCAATAGAAATAAATTCTTTCATTCAACACCCATGAAATTTTTTCATAATTAAGAGATTTTTCAGATAATATATGCCAATGATAAATACGTAGCGTATGCAAATCTTTCCTATTTAACGATTCCTATTACTATAAAACGAGCTTTGTTTTTCTTTTTTCTTATCCTTTTTTTCTTTCTTTTTTGTAACAATAAAAGCAGCTTTATAAAGGGGCATTCGTAAATACTCGTATACATAATAGAGTTTCACTCTCGGTTAAGCTTTCGTACGTAGGTCGAGAGTAAGACTGATTTTAGCAGTTTGAATTTCCATGGTGTTTACGAGTGCACACGCATTTTACAGTTATGTACTTGACATAATTGTATTTAACTACTCCATGATAATCTGAGGTTTGGCCTAATATTGGATTTTCTCTTGGTTCTACCACGACAAGTTGATATTTCATTCTCGATCCTATGTACGACTTATTTTAATACATATAATGCCTAAAATATCATTGTAATCATTCATTATTCTTAAAAATTTTATTCCTAAAGATTATGCCCTTATTTTGTGAGACTATTATATAGTTAGTTATTATAAATTTTTGTATAAATAAATAAATGCTGTATAATAAAACTTTTGCTTCTAAATGCACATATGTCATTGTTTAATATATAAACGACTTTATAGTTTTATAAACTTTTGTTTTAATCTAAAAGATTAAATAATTACCCACTTTTATACAATTTCCTTCTTTTTATTGTACTATAATTTATTCATTAACGTAAGAAAAACTGACACACGTAGATCATACACTTATAAATATGAACTTATACATACGTTACACGTTCGAACTTCCTGACATTTTTATTTTATTTTAATGTAAAACAAATGTTGTTATTGCAATATCGAATGCACATTTGAATTTACTATTAAAGAAAATTTATTCAAAAAAGTTTTAATTATTAATTTTTGATATTAATACAGACACATTAACGTAGTGAAAAAAAAAAATGAAATTCACAATGAAAGTTTCATTCGTTTAAAAAATTTTTTTATTATTATGTTTTTTAAATGTAGCTAATATTATTGATATAAATTGTTTAATTAAGTAAATTAAATAAAGTTTCCAAAGTATTGTAGAATTCGATTGTTTGAAAAACTTTTATAAAAATGTCGTTTTTTAGGAAAACTTGTGTTTATCATTTACACGTGAATATTATAGCCTAAAACTTATGTATAATTTTTGTTATTAATTCACTCGACAGTGATAATCGAATAGATTAAAAAATTTGGAAATTTTCATTTTGTAGATTTTCTAAGACAAAATTGTTTTAAGTTCATTTTGTTACCGACGAGGCGGTACAATAAATGTATCACTGTATCTCCGTTTTAGAAAGTATTACGTCATTTTATTTGGAATCACAGCACAAATTGATCATGAACAAAACATGAACAATTTTCTATATATATCTGCACATAAATATTATAAAATTTATCAATATATATTGAAATTCTATTGCATAAAAGATAATTATTACAAAAAAATATTTTGACAATTATTATTTAAGTTATGATTAAGCTATTGATAGTAAACATTACGAATCGTTAAGCGTTTAAATCAAATTTCAATAATCTGCTTAAAGATTTGATTATCGTTTAACGATCACAATGTATCAAGATTACTTATACATTGTAAAGATTTGATTATCGTTTAACGATCACAATGTATCAAGATTATTTATACATTGTATTACTTATATATTATACTTATATATTATATAATATAATATTTATAAAATATAAATAGCAATTTGAAAGAGAGATATTTCAAATTTTATTTGACTTTTATCTTAATGCAATTTTTTGATAAATTAGTTTTACGAGTTATTTACTAAAATATGTTTTTTTTTTTTTTATATTAAATAATATATTGAACTATAGTATTACAAATATAGAGCCATTGTACGTACTGAAAGGTATTTTTTTTTTCTCTTTTTTTTTTATTTTTTTGTTTTTTAATATTTAATTCCATATTTTTATTTTATTTGTTATCTTATGCGATATGGTTAGTAAAGTTGTAAGACGTGCGGCATGAAATAAATTATATACGAATGAAAAATTGTCACTATGCAAAATTTAAAAGACTGGCTGTAACAGTTTTGAATTGCAAATACAAATGTAAAAGAAACATGATATTATAGGTTTCTTTGAATAATGGTGTAGAGTAATAATAATAATAATAATATGAATAGTGGCACGTAGGAAAATAGAGCAGCGTCTTTTCTTTTCTTTTTCTTTTCATTTTTTTTCCCCCATCAAAACTAGATATCTACAGCAATTTTATAGGAAATTGTAAGCCGTGGGAAAATTTATTTCTGTTCAATAATAAGCTATCTTGATTTTTTGAAATAGAAAAAACATTTTATTATTAACTTTTCTTCCTAATGTTAACGTTGAAAATATCTTTTAACCCAAACGATAAAGTACTTTTAAAAATATTCTTTCATCTAATTATGTTTTAAGCGCACGCACACATACTCACGTGGATACATTGTACGTTTTGCCGTAGTTTACAATGTATCAGTTGATTATATTCAAGGTTTTAAGAATTAATGATATTATATAAAAATTGCTCCCTTTGAATTATATAACTTCAACTAAAAGAATGCACCAAGTTGTTAAATATATATATATATGAATTTCATTTCAAACTTTTTTGTTTACAAAACTTGATAGATTCTCTATTATTAAATTCACATGTTAGTTTTTAATTTTTGTCATTATTATTATTTAGAAAATAAATAAGCACAAACAGCATAATGAATAGCTCAATATATAAAACTATTTTGATTTAATTAAAAATGTATGTGCAATGTAATGTAAATTGAATGTACATGGTATAAAATCATATGGCATTGTATAATGGATTCGTAATAAAGCTTGTTACTCGCATTCAAATACACTGCTCTTATTAGCGAACTCTAAGCTTTTCTTACTCCGGGCATAAAAATGAAGACATAAAAATTATTATCTTAATTGTAAATCTGTAATAAAGATACATCATTTATTTTCGCGTCTAAACATGAAGTAAGAACAAGTGTATAGAGCGGTACTTTGTACAAATGTTCAATAATTCTTAGAGAAAAACAAATACATATATATATATATATATATATATATATCCTCACGGATAAATTATGAATGGAATAAAAAAATTTAATTACCACGAAATGAGAGACTTTGTTCAAGTTTAAATTTATATATATCATTGGATTCACGACACGGACGAGTAATCCCTCCCAACAACCTTCGTCACTTACGTAAATAATCTCAAAACCTTAAAAAATTCAAGCAATTTAAGCAATCCTAAGCATTGCTAAGCACACGAGCGAGTCTCGCCAAATCAAGTGTCCGCAGCTGCGCAACAATCGCAACAATTAGCAACGACGGTTAGCCTCGCTCGATTCCAGCTATTTCGCTTCGAGTAAACCATCCGCGCGGTGACTTATGCA